GAGCGCGGAATCGCGGTGGGTGTTACAGGCGGCAATGGGAATTTCCGATTTCGAAAATCCTGGCTGCGCGGCTGGCAGTGGTGGTCATCTATCCTCTACTAATTTTTTTTCTAATTTCAAACACAACACACAAATTTTTAAAGGCATAATGGATTTTCTATTGTTGTTGCTTGTTTCAGTTGCCTGTATTGCCAATAAAGTTTACTACTCTCAGAAAATAAACACAATTATCTGAATACAAGTAGTATTTTTGTCAATAGACTTGACTATTATCGTAATATCATGGTATTGGTACCAATGGTAGAAAGCGTCACACAACTCTTTGGCTATCATTTCGTATGGTCATTTGTACAAAGTGAATAATTATAATAAACTGACTGTGTCACAAGTTGCTATTAATTTTTATTGATTTATTGATAGTTATAAACTATCAATTACATTGTGTACATATATTGTTGGTTTGTGGCTTTATTCTGATATTTTTATTGAAGCTTATTTCTTAATTTACTGGGTTTTAGTAAACTAAGCAAAAATGTGTTATTTTCGATTTTAGAATGTATTCGGAATTCCAGATTCGAAAACATTATTTTAGAATGTATTCGGATTAGTTTAGTATTCGGAAATGGCCATCCCTGAATACAATCCATTGTCCATGTCGTGTCCCAAAATTAACGAAAACGAGCTTCTTCTGACTAAAATAGATCAAACGCGAAGAATTTTCTCAGTCAACGAATAATTCGATTTGCTAATAATTTGAATTATTCAACCCCTTCGATCTACAATCAATTTTTTTGCAACTAAACTTAATGTAGCAGTTTATGAAAAAAATTTATAAAAAAAAATGAAAATATATATACGTAAGAAGTCTAGTCTTATGCGTAGAAATAAATTGCAGTTGTGCATTAGTAATTGGCGTTCCAGAAATATGGCGCACAACCTGATAAACCTAACCTGGTACACATACTATGTTCAGGTTGTGCGCCATCTTGGTACACATACTTCGGGAGCATCTATTAATTTATGTTGAATTCTGACTACACAAATTCTGCTCTTGATAAAAAAAAAGAATTGACATTGAGGTTGTAATCTTGAACATTTCGGCGGAAAGCTCAAATCTTGATAAATCTCACTTTTTTTCCTCTAAGTATATATATATGTTTCTGTTAAGAAAAACACAAATATATATCATAAATTTCCATAATTGAGTATTTCTGATACTTGCCTACTTTTAATTGCTGAGTAATAAACTAGGTCAGGTCTTGATTTTCGGAAGATTCACTGTTAAGCGTACTTTAATGCCTGGCGATTTTATCATGAAATGACAAGTATAAACAACTTCGCTGTATTTTTGGGCGGCAACGTTGTTTCTGCTAATCGAACGATTATATGAGATTATTCAAGTATTGAAAGAATGCGGCCGCAGGCAATGATAATCTTAAACTCTTTTCATATATCAGCGTGTTAAAAAAGTAACACAAAATTCAATCTTAAAAAGTTGAGAAAAACGCAAATTTTTTTGTCATTGCAACAAAGCACTTCACATATGGCGATTCCAACTAAACCCTTAACATAGAAAGCTATAGCATCCTATTTGACTTTCAACACACTCAGTTTTAAAATCTTCTCTTTCACGCCTGGTTACTATAGTTACCATACGCTTTCACTTTGCAAGCATGATTTCATTTCCACCTCAAGCTTCCACCGTCTGTTGCTGATGAAGCTCGATCTGGTCGACCGTCTGTAAGTAAATCCGAAGACTTTCAAAAGGGTGTCTCACAAGAAATTGATTCAAATGTATTGTCGTATTGCGCGTCAGATCTCTGTTGTCTCGGATTACGATGTCTGTTCAAGAGCCTGGCTATAAACCTTACATTTCTTGTTTATTCCATGCCTTCAATAGAGATGAACCAGACAGACGGAGGCAGAGCTGTGAAATTTTTGAAAAACTGTGCAGAGCACATCCGTCGCGAATCGATAAGATCATCTTGTCAACTTCAAACTCGGGTTGATTACAACCTTCAATTTACTTGGAGTGAAGATTCCACTTTTTACACACAACTTCAGATATCTACTTGTTTCCATACCAGATAGATATATTAAATCACCAAAGTACACGCTAACGATCGCAAAATTTAGTTTTATTTGAAGGCAGTCATGTTTTTCTTTTAAGGCGCCGTGAGTTGTTTTCCTTCTAATTTGGCGCCGCACGAACATAAAGTTTGGAAACCGCTGCACTATTATATTGCAATACGCATATCAATTATAAAAGAGAGTAAATTGTATAAGAATAATTATTTATTATTAGTGTTAAAAACATAATAATATAATAAAGATTTATTATAATGTTTTACACATTAGTGTTCTGTTAACACACCAATGGTCGATATTAAGAATTTTCTACGGCATTTTATGATATAGGATTTCATATTCAGGTGTTATATTGTTTCAATGAAAACGAAACTGTTAATTATGATGATTCACGAAGTCACGAGGATAGTCGATGCCGTGAACACGTGAGAAGGTAAAATAGGAATGAAATATAAAATGGTGATTTCGATACCCGGACGTTTAGAGATTTTCCTATTTCTGATTCTACTTCAGAACTTTGAAAATCCTTTGATAAGCACATTGTAAATTAAGGTCTGGTTTCAGCTTGATTCTAGTCCCCCTCTGGCAACCAGATTATCTGAGTTGTCAAAACGTGCGCGTCAAGTTCTTCTATCGTAAATTGTTTTTAATACAACGACAATTTAACGCACAATTTACCCAATTAGTTGTTAAAAAATATAGAAAATGATAATATAATACTGCAAATTTGATGCCAATTTAAAAAAATGTTTGAACAAGCTAATCTTACCGTAATGGCAGCGCTTTATAATATGTTGTATATATATACAATTACATTGTCAACAATGTTTAAGGTCAAGCGGTCATATTTTGTAATTAAGTTAAGTTCTTGAATTCGAAACTTAGTATTTTATGTTCCGGGCGGATTGGGGATTAAGTGTTTGGGCAAAACATTTTTTCGAAACACTTCTACTTTGAAAATTGAATTTAATTGAAGGTCAGATAGTAGATACGTATACAGTCATACGATAAATTTGTTTCAATAAATTCGGAAACAAGATTTCAGTATGGAAATTTATAATCAAGTAAAGTAATTGAAACTTATAGCATTGTTCTCCCCATTGAATAATATTTGATATATTGCATGTACAGTACGATCTTTGTTTTGGTAACGATCCCTACTCTATAGAAGCTATTCAATGGTCCGGCAACTTTAGCGCGAAAGCACAGTCCAAGTCAGAAATCGTTGCGCGATGATCGATAAATCTAAAGTCTCTGTCAAGTGCCAATCTTATGATGTGATTCGTAATGTAACGATGATTACTACGGGAATGATTCCAGTAGCAAAGATGGCGATTGCTATACTTCCCTTCACAATTCGAAATACCTCACAATTTATATCCCGGTTGTATCGATGAGTGATATTCATTCATCCGTGTTTATTCGATTTTGGGGTAAAAGCAAACAATGGTAGTAATTTGGAATGTCTGGATCTTGATGGCGTTTCTTCTGCTACAAATAGAAACTCAGGCTGCTATAGCCTACTCATATTATTTTTAATCCCAATGTTTATATATAAAAGAGGTTTGGAACATGCTTCACTACGATCTCTTCCAAAGAAAACTATAGGCCTACCTTTGATGAACAGATCATTGTCGCTGTTCTATGGATGTAGCATCGGACATCAGTACATTCTTGATGTTTTTTATTGTTAGGCAAATAACGATGTATAACTTGAATATTTTAGTAAATAAAAGTTCTGTTCACTTATGCTCTTAGTATTGACAAGACAATTTCATGCCATAGAGTCAGTTGTGGGATTCAGCCGGTTCGCATCGGTTCTATAGAACCGTCTCACGGAATTTTATGAGATCAGCGAACCGGTTAGCATTACTGCTTATTGTCAATGTTCTGTTTGTAACAGAACCGGCTGAAAAATATGACTTTTGTGAAGGAACTGACTGACAAAAAATTTGAATCCCATCACTGCATAGAGTGTGCCATGTGGGAGTAAACGGTTACTGGAGCGATTTGATAACAGGAATTGGGCGTATTAGGTAAAAGGTGAACCGGACACGAGCAAGAAGTACACAACACCAAACCTCCAGTTATTTCTACCCTGCTAATCTGTGCGTTAGTTGCCTGGCATCACCTTCCAAAAATCTCCCGACTTTCGCGGAGCACGAGTTCGTATCTTCGTAAAATAAAAATCGAGAACAGCCATGGCGTAGTCCGTCAAGCTGGCGGAATATAGAAACGTGTTCTCGTGAATAAAATGAAACAGCCAAACTTTAGATAAGATATCTAATTTTATAGGATTTATAGAACAAGAGAGCTGTGCTCAAATATATGGAAACGTCACAAGGTGTCGGTATTATTTATTCTGACACATAAAAACGAATCTCTTGAAGTCCAAGTCCTCAGAAATTTTTGGAATAAGTAAAAGTAATAGCCCTCTGGCAAAAAAATCAATCTTTAACCACTGAAAATTTCAAAGCAATTGGTCCAGTATTCGAAGAGAAAAGCGATTTCATCATGACGAAAGAGAATAATAACAAGGACAACAACAACATAATATTGAAACGATCGTTATGTACTCTGACGTGTCCAAAATCAGTAATGAATAAAGGTAATAGGCTTCTAACAATCTTCAACCACTGTAAATTTTAAAGCGATAGGTTCAGTAATTGAGGAGAAACGATTTTTTTCCACAACAAGAGAAGAAGAATTCTAACAACACAATACCAAAACGATCCACAGATTCATTTCGTGACTAACAAGAAGAAGGAATACCAACTACAAAATATCAATTCGTGTCCGAAAATAAGGCATAGTGGGGTCGAAGGTCGGCGTAGATGTTCGCGGTGCTGTATTGATTTTCAAATTTACAAGGGAATGAATATATTTGATACAAATGTCTATACAAGTGTATGTACAAGTGTATGTATGTCTATACAAGTGTATGTACTTATTAGATAAATAATAATTGGAAAAACTTTTATTTACATGCTTTATCTTAAAAATAATTGTAATCTTATAAATGATGATTATGAAAAAATGGAATTATGGAAAAAATGAACGGTGATGAATTCTTCCTTGGAACAACCATGAAAAACATGTTTAACATATTAATAATGTACTGTTGGTAATTCTTTTTGATATTATTTTATTTGTTATTTTTCAATATATATTATACCCTATATTTGATCAAACGCGGAAATTGCTGTTCGATTATTTGAGTTGCAAAAGTTCAGTTTATGTCAAAACAAATTTGAATTTAATAGCACTAGGTTCATATCAAAATCGTCTGAGAAAAAACAAAATATATCAATAAGTGAGTTACCGGTACAATGTCACAATATAACAGTACCGGTACCGGTAGGCTATTTAGGTGTTATGGCATCACTGCATTAAGCTCAGCACAATCTGTCAACATACAGATTTAATTAAGTTGATATTTTTTATAGAGAAGTGACAAGTTCGTTCATAAAAATTGCTTTAAAGTCTTTATGCTGGTATGATGCAATTGCTGAATTGAATGGTCACTATGGAATTGATTCGGTATTTATGCAACTAGTGACAGAGTGAATTCTGTACCGATATATTGAGAAGTGTATTTTTGACTGGTTTATTCGTCATGTATTCATGGAATTTTTATTCAGCCTATCCATATATGGTTTGTATGAATACTTTACTGCCTTATACTTTACACATCGATAGTATTATAATATAAAATTGATGAGTTTTTCCAGTTTCAATTTCATACCGTATAGTCTGATAGTCTAGGTATAATTACTATCTGTACTGTAGTTACAAAAGATGAGTGAGGAAACTGTTGAAGTCAACGAATCCAATGATGACATTGAGAACACAAATGATCACACAGATCAAGACGGAGAAAAAAGTGAAAAACTTTGCAGACTTCCTATTGCTCGTATAAAAACGTTGATAAAAGCAGATCAAGATGTTAACATTGCTAGTCAAGAATCTGTTTTCTTAATAGCCAAAGCAACTGAACTTTTTATCGAACAATTATCGAGAGATGTTTATAGAGTAACACAAGGAAATAAAAGAAAAACAATTCAGAAGAAAGATTTGGATATGGTGCTGGAAATTAATGACGAACTGGCATTTTTAGAGGGAACATTGGACTGATATGATTTTAGCAATCATATTGGAATGCATTTGTACTCTAATAAGAAGTGTTCCTCATTTGGATTTTGCCTAAACTGCTCAATATGTAATGAAAAGTTGTGGAGTATGTGATAGGCACATTACATATCTGGTTTTACTGTGTATTTACTGATATAAGCTTGCATTTGTCATCCTTGCTTATTATTTGGGAAAATTAACTTGAAAAATGTACTACTGCATCTAATTAGACATCCCAAACATTCTAGTTTTTCCTTGAGCTTTTGTTCATTAGACATTTTTTTGATTTGGTATTTCTTGTATCTATTTGAAGATAGTTTAAAGTTACTTCTGTTAAAGCAAAATTGAATTTTTTTGGACAACATAATTGTTATACCATTAATTAGTAAGATTATCTTAGTTGTGCATTATGTATTATGTGTATATGTATATAGCACCACTTGAACGAAATGAATCTAGTATGTCTAAGGTTGAGTTATTTTTTTATATTCTACCTATTTTGTAATATGTTATATATTGTGACACTAACACTCTGAACATCAAAAACCTGATATGGTGAGGTTCTACATTGAGACATGAGAGAGTATCAAAATATGCAGGGTCAATGGATATGATTCTGACTACTGCACAAAATGAACTGCCATTTACACTTTTTTCTCTTTATTTCTATGGTTATATCATGATCTATTAGTATGGATGAATTATCAGATCATACATTAAATTTTTCCGGGAATATAAATACTACTCTTTCATCATCATTATCTTCTTCAATCGGCAAGACTGAATTAACAGATTCATCGACAGCAAGTTGTTCATCGACTCACGATCTAGTAAGAGCGACATTGCAAGATGTGATTGGACTTCAACACAATGCAATAGAACAAATGTTAGAAACAAAAGAGAGACATAAACTTGACTATGTTATGAAAACAACTTATGACGAGGTAAAATTAGTGCGAGTAGCATCAAATAGTAGATTACCTAAATACCACCAAAATTCCTGTCCCAATCACTAATTATTTATTTTTAATATCTTCAGTTATTTTTTTTATTTACCGTAGTCTTAATTTGTTCATTTTAACTTGTTTTGTGTTTGGAAAAATTTGAGAAGATTTGAATATTTTAAGCTTTTATTGTGGAAAAACCTGATGTGGCCCAGACCCACCCAGACTCTGCGTCCAGTGGCCCCTAGGTAAATTAGTTCGAGGCCCCTGATGTACAGTGTAAAATGCATTAGGATATCCTAATATTTCATGATTTTTTTCTGATCCTTCTTGATGGCAAGCATGTGAGCACATAATTTAATTGCTATAAAAAAGAATGCGTTTTTCAAACTCTTTTACATGGTTATTATGAAGCCCCGTCCTTCGAATTTTATCGTAAGCATGCCATCACATTGAAATGATTCAAGTAGTATATGTAATTATGTGGCATTGATTAAAATTTTGGCAATGTGTATAACTTGTTAGTTCCAGCGATTGTTTGATTTCAAAGTTTTCTTTAGTTATGAAATCTTTCGTACACAGTTTTTCTAAACTTACAGGCTATCAAGCAATTTGAGGATGAACAACTTGAACATCGGAAAACAAAGTTACTACTGGAGAAAGAGCAAGAAAAGTTGAAGTTTGCATTAGGAGAAATTGAAATACTTACTAAACATCTTGAGAGAGAAAAATCAGATCATGAGAATTTAATCAAATCTGTCAAACAAAAGTGAGTTGTTGATATTATATGCATGTCATTGAGTGAATGTCTGGGGTATAACTTTTAGATAGGGCTGGGCATATCGAATTGAATATTTCTATTGAATGGTAAATTATGCGAATCGATTCAGAAAAAAATTTTGAATCACCGCCATCTTGTTTTTTTTTGCCGTCAAAGGTTGAAAAAAATGTTTCAAAATTTTTGTTGAAGCCATATTTGAAATTCACTTCTGACAAACTGTTTTCTTTCTAATGAGATGTTAATGAAACAGATTTCTTATTATGTGAAACCACTCTGTGATCTGAATTTGTGATGGATTCTATGTTTTCAGTAATTTATGTGTCTGGAGGATCCATCACAATAAAAAAACACACATACATTTGTATATTTTTCAAGATTTGGTTTGAAAAAAAATATCCAATTTGATTCCAAAATTATGAGGTATTTGGAAATGCCCATCCCTAGCCATAGCTTGATTTGGCTAAAACTCGGATATACGCTTTATAAATGAGAGTATGTTTGATATATTTGATTTACATTAAAAGGTGGTATTCAATATTTACAACACTTTCATTAATTAGATTTATGCTTGATTGTTTTTATTTCAAAATTTGCACATGATTCAAATTTTTACTCTTTTTTGTGAAACCATACTTATATCTGTTGTTATAAAAATGGAGCTTAATGGCATATGGCCACAATAGCCAATATTTATTGCCCTTCAATGTTTGAATATTTATTCTGGAAGGTGCTTTGAACTCCTATGGTAATGGACAATTCATTGCGCTTGTTTTTGAACTTCTTATGTAATTAGCTATTTGTTTGTGAGGGTTTAAGCATTGAAATATATTTTTGCTTGCAGAGCCAACAGAGAAACTCAAAGAAGTGATCTTTTGTACGACAAATGTACAAAAAATGAAGAAATCATTCAAAGGCAAAAAGATGATATAACATTAAAAGAAAATGAGATTTCAAATTTGAAACAGAGATTGAAGTCACAGTCAGCTTCACATAAACAGTTTATTCATGACATGGAAATTCAGAAAGTACAAGAAGAATATATGGCTCGTTCACTTAGTGAAAAGGATAAAAGGAAAAGGCGTGGTGTACCTTGACAAACTTTTGTTTTTGGGTGAAAGACTCGGTCTGATGTTTAAAAATTGAGCTGTTTGGCATGAATGATTTTGTTCCAATTAATATTGAAATCATCATTACAAAGTAGTTGATATTATAAATGAATCAATTCATGCTGAAAATCATAGATATTGACACTCAACATACGTGACTTGACGGCGTTTGTGCAGATGATTATGTGTCAAGTTACAGCTAGCCTAACATATTTAATTTTCCTTCAGTTTTGGTCATACCCTAATATTTTCAAGTTTTCCTAACCCCTAATCCTAATCGACGAAATTTACAGACTTCAGTTGGAACACACAACAATATTCTCACAAGTAGAACATGATCATTCGGAATTCTCTACATTTTGTGAAAAAATCGTGTATCTCTTGTAGGAATTGTAGATTTGTTTTCTTATACTTTATTTCTTCATAACTAAATAAAATTACTGTAGAATAATTTACAATTATTGTTGTATATATACTTAATATATCAAGAGTAATAAATTCTATATTTCTTAATATTTGGTTATACTTGATTTAAGCTTATTCTAACTTACACCTACCTGATCAAGCTAGATTATGCTCTAGCAAATGAAAGCTTGGCCAGACTTGTGTCTGTGAATCTCGAACCAAAAAGTTTTGAAAAATTATATGTTAACAATGTTATCATTCTCTGTGGTAATAATATCATCAAGGTGAAAAAGTGGCTGCAGCAAGCGGACGAGTGAATTGAGTTACAGACGTAAAACAACGAGGCGAATATATGAAATATACGGATGGACAACGCTAATTTTTTTAGTGAAATATGCAAAAGAATAGATAAAAATACGCTTTCTCGCAATTTCTTCCATATTTAGATACTAAAAATGGACATAAGTTGGTCAGTTAGTTACATCGAAAAGTTTTTTTTTTAACAAATCATAATAACAAGAGAGCTATGCTCAAATATATGGACACGTAGAGTCACATAATTTTGATGACGTCATAGCGAAAAAAAAAGTAATAGCCTTCTGGAGAAAATTTTTATCTTTAACCACTAAAAATTTCAAAGCAATTGGTCCAGTATTCGAAGATAAAAGCGACTTTTGAAAACGTGTCAAGCGGTACTGAGTTAGCAGTCAGGCAGCATCTTACCTGTACACTGTAGGCCATATACGGTAATTGATCACAGAACAGTTGTTCCCTTGCAAATTTTATGTTGTTTACACTTTAGGACAGATAATTGATCACAGAACAATTCTTCCCTTTCAAATTTTATGTTGTTTCCAGTAGACTCTCATCAAAATAAACAAATATAGTAGGCTACAAGTGCTACAACGCTTGCATTACTGCACTGGTAGGACCGTGAAAGAATAAGTTACGGTAATTTCATTGTGGTAAGACACCGGTACCGGCACCAGTACCAGTATCGTACTTACGTACTGAGCTACCAGTTAGCAGTCAGCCAGCATCTTACCTGTACACTGTAGGCCATATACAGTAATTGATCACAGAACAGTTGTTCCCTTGCAAATTTTATGTTGTTTACACTTTAGGACAGATAATTGATCACAGAACAATTCTTCCCTTTCAAATTTTATGTTGTTTCCAGTAGACTCTCATCAAAATAAACAAATATAGTAGGCTACAAGTGCTACAACGCTTGCATTACTGCACTGGTAGGACCGTGAAAGAATAAGTTACGGTAATTTCATTGTGGTAAGACACCGGCACCAGTACCAGTATCGTACTTACGTACTGAGCTACCAGTACCGGTACCGAACCTGTAGGTCTGATATTCCGTTCCGCATACGATAGCCTATAAAACTTGCATTGCAGCATTAGTAATATCGCGGAAGGAATAAGTCAATTTCACTGCGTTACGGTACCTGTATGGCAACTTACCAGTACCGACCTACAGTAGCTGTAGTACTGAGCAAGACAATCGATCGCGAAACCGCTTGAAATAAGTGTAAAACAGTGTTCCCATGAGTAAAAATAAATACCGCGAAATTTTGTATGAAATATCATATCTCATAGGATTCATATAAAATTTAAGAATAAACAAAAGTAATAGCCTTCTAGCGAAAAAATTAATCTTCAACCACTGAAAATTTCAAAGCAATTGGTCCAGAATTCGGAGAGAAAAGCGACTTTTTAAAAACGTGTCAAAGAACAAGAACAACAACAAGAACAACAACAACATAATATTGAAACGATCGTTATGTCCACTACGTGTCCAATAAGCAACGAGAATACAAACGACTTGAATTTAACAAAGCGATCCACACGTTAGGACTGGGTCGTCAGCAAGGGATCACCAGTGAACGAATCTTTTCGTATGAAATGTGCAACTGAAATGAACCGAAGACGAGCGACAACACATGCGGCGCAGTTCTCGCAACTGATGATTCCAATCCAAGACGAACTTGTGGAACTTTTTTACAATCAATGGCATAAAACTTGAGGTTTATTAGGAATAATTGCATGCTTTATTGCTGCCGTACTCATCAAATAGTAAGACATACTTCGGTAATATTTTTTACAGTATACCGTACCTGTATTTCTAATCATAATCGAAATGAATTTTGATTGATTGAATTTCACTTTCAGACTTTTACGGTACCTGTACCGTACCCTACCCTATAGCCAGTCTGGATTTCATGGCCTTTTTGAACGAGAAATCGGGCGTGCAATCAGAAATTCCCGCGTGCAAATAAGAATTCCTGGCGTGCAATTATAGCTCACGACGTGCAAAACAACTGCACTCGCGTGCAACTGACTTTGACATCAAATACCTCTCAATACATCCGCGTAAAATTACCGGTATCGGATAAAAAATACGTTGAATCAGAGAAAAAATGGACGTTTGACCTTTGACCCCAAACATTATTTCTACAGTTTGTCGCTAATTTTGAGAGTGTTTGTGCGACTTTGGATACCGGTACTGTTCAGTACATCCGCGTAAAATTATTGGATAAAAAATACGTTGAACCAGAGCAAAATGGACATACTTTGTCATTAATTTTGGTAGTGTTTTTACGTAAAATTAATGGATAAAAAATACGTCAAATTAGAGCAAAATGGACGTTTGACCTTTGACCCCAAACATTATTTTCATACTTTGTCACTAATTTTGGGAGTGTTCGAGCAACTTTAGATACCGGTACTGTTCAGTACATTCGTGTAAAATTATTGTATGAAAAATACGCTGAATCAGAGCCGTACTTGGCCATTGGTGCGGAAGCGATCTTTTCGTCCATAACTATTCTCACGGGATTCCTATTTCCTATCATTCAACACGATATGGACCTTTCCCCGAGCATCGACTTCCTTGTTTACTTCGTGACATTGGCCAATCAGCAAGATGCAAAAAAGGACGTAACAATGAGAGGAATTTTTCGCGGGTCAAAGGTTGGGGAAAGGTCCATGGTCTTTTTGCTTCGCAATATTTCGATCAGACCAAATCTTGCAATCTGGTATTTGTCGACAATTGTGGAGGTATAATATTTTGGCATCTTTATATTACTGGATTATTGATTTTAAAACCATTTAAACCGATTTACATTGGTGAGCAATTGCAAATTTTCGGCGTGCAAAATTGATTTCGCTCGCGTGCATTTTTGCGGAGCGCTAGCGCCCTCGGGCGTGCACCTGCCATGGAATCCAGTCTGGCCCTATAGGCCTACGGTGCCGGTCCTCTAGGAGTTAGGTACTTTACTGTAGAAAGCCATGAATTTAGTTGGCCTATTTGTTTCAGTGTATATTTAGCTATTCGGCAGAATAGAATTATAACAGAGAGAGTACTGGAGTAGAAGCAGCGGTCAGGCTGTCAGGGAGATTTTATTTTGAGTAAGTCGGTAAAGTTTAATGAAATTTGACCTTCTGACCGGAGTTAAATTTGGGTGTCGAACTCATATACCGGTACACCCCAAAAAAGCGCTGTTTTCCCTAGTTCCTAAATACAGTAGTAGAATTTCTTAAAGATATAGGGGTGCTGGGGTGTTTGGTATCTATGGTCGTTTACCATTAAAATTGTCGGCGCAGCGGTGTGGCTCATCGTGCTAAGCCAGTAAGCGCCACAGCCACCGCACCGCTCTAATTACTCTGCGTGGGTTTGCAGGTTCGAATCCAATGCGGGATGGTTATGTGCGAGAGGATCGCTGGACTCCTCGCCGCCGTAGGGTGGTTCACATAACCGGCTTCCTCCATCATCAAGTCCATGCTTCCGAAAAACAAGTAACTAACTAATCCCATACACGACATGGAATGATAACCGGACGAGATGCCGTGGTTCGCCATATGGATAAGCGGTCTTATCTGCTTTTCTCTCCACCAGGATAAATATGTATATCCTATCCTATGTGAATAATATGTGTTTATATGATCGAACCAACAATTACTGAATTATCAATACACAAATGAAAAAGATATTTAACCTTTTTCATCCAACCTACTGCAACGTTTGTTCATCTTTTTTGTTGTTTATATCTGTATATAGGTATTGTAGGTAGTGAATTGCTTCTTTTCTAACCAGTTTTGAAAATGTTTCTCAATAAAAGACAAAAGTTACCGCAGCCTGCGGTAGATCCAAAAACTAAAAGTTTACCAAAATCATATCAAAAGAAAACTCCTGATGCCAAGTGGCCATCTCAGGCACCTAAGTCGGCAACAGTAAAAGAATCAAAAAAGCCTCTGGACTGGGATGATATATCTTTATCTAGCGATGATTCGAAATCTTTTCAACGATTTTTAAAGAAAGACTCTGAAGATACTGAACAAGAAGAGGGACATAAACAAGAGAAACCGTCAAAAAATGCTGTGAAGATCGAGTCGTTTGAACGTCCAAAGACATCTAGAGGTAGTCTGGATAGACAGATATCAGATGTAAAACCTCATATCTCATCATCAAATGCTTTGAATCGACTTGCCTTGATTGAGGCTCGATTCAAGGATAGGCAAATTGATCATTCGCAAAACATACTTGCTATGTCATCTTCTGATTTTGATCTTGATGTCAGCTCAGATTTGGATGTAAAAAAGCAAATAGGAAAATCGAAAATTAAATTGAGAGAAACTGTAAAAAAGTCTCAAAAAAGCAAAAGCGCTACCTTGTCGAATCGGTTGAATATTCTAACAGTGGGTGAAGAAACTGACACTTCAGAAGAAGATGGAATAGAAAAAATGAGATTTATTAAAGATAATCCTAATGTGGAATTTTCCGATGATTCCCAGAAATTAGATCTTGATTCTAGATTAGATTATAATAAAGAAAAACTTCGTGCATCTAGCGAGTTTGATGACAGTGACTCCGCTCTTGCAGACAAAAATCGTTATTTTGTTAAAAGATCTGGTTCCCCTAAGAGGGTAACTTTTGCTTCAGATCTTGTTAGATCAAGTGATTTGGAACAATCTTATGATGAATTTATATCTATGAGTGAAAAAAGTGAGGATCCAGTTAGTCTTGATGAAATACTACCTACCAAACTTCACAATATTATGTCGCTTGACGATCTTCTTCCTTCGCGTGATTCAATAGACGAGGATGACAATGATCGTCCAACATCAGCTTTGGGTTTTGCTGGTCTGCATTCGGTTGAGGAATTGATACCCTCCGGAAAAGATAGCGAGGTCAGATCATCTAATGAATTTGCTTCCTCAATGGAAGAAGATATACAAGGAATGTCCGTAAATAGCGATGACATTTCATCCAATATTGAAGGCAATTTGCAGAATTTGAGATCTATTGATGAATTAGAAATTGGACCATTGGAATCTAAAGATGGTAAGATAGAAATAAAATCGAAGCCTGCTAATATTTTTAAACCAGAAACGTCTATTCACGATTCAGAATCTGAGGAAATCAAGTCTGAGTCTATAAAATATTCCGAAGATTTTCATTCAAGTGATGATGATACTTTAAAAGATACTGAAAGTATAACTCAAGATATTGCGCAATCAGTTTCTTCTATACCTTCATCAGTTCCAGATGAAGATTCATTGCAGGATAAAACAGCTAGCTATTCATCATCTTTCACCTCAACAAGGACTTCATCCTCATCTACAATTTCTACCCGGACACCAACTCCTCGTAAAAAGAAACTCAAGCCTAAAAAATCTCAAACTACTGAAACACAGACTGACATAGCATCAGGTGTGTGGGTACCTGGATCAGTATTTGCTGCTAAACCATTTACTCCGACAAAATTAATAAAGAATGAAGCTTTGGACGTGTTGTCTTCTTATAATCCAGCAACTCTTGCTCTTCAAGATATTTTGCAACAGCAAGTTACCATAACGAGGGAATTTATAGCTAGATCCAGGCGACTCCATGAATTGGCAACTTCTGCAATACCATGTGATTATGTTTATGGAAATATTAACGAAGAATCATTAGCAAGGTTGAAAAATATTTGGTATGCTCAAGAAAATTTAACTGTTTCACCTAAATGAATTCAAAATAAATTTTTGTGAACTGTGTATTCATAACAAAATTTTTGATTATATATATTATATATTGACTTTATATTAAAATTGCAGAGAACAATTCATTCCCAAGTGTGATTCGATCAAAATATGTTTCAATCATGATTTATAATATATGTTTATAAAAGTTTGATTATCGCATTGGTTCTACAACTGTGCTTTCAATACTTTTGACTTTGTTGCGATTTGACCATACATTCCTTCAAAAAATATTTAAATAAGTTATATCAGATAGTCAGTCTTGTTATAATGATTACCGTTATTATCAGGCACAAAGATGAGCTTGTATATCACATCGACTAACTATGCATATACTATAAAAATTAGAAATATTATCTATAATAAACTGAATTTTAGCTTATATATGTTATAATAGTATTTATATATCATTTATAGGCTATAGCAATGTATTTTAGAACATACCGGTAATAACAATATTATGAATGTATGCTTTTTCGGCCGTTAAAATTTATTCGTACTTCCAATAGAGTTGTGTACAATCAAAATAGAATTCGAATAGCCCACTTTATTGTTTTTACGTTCAGCGCTCCAGAAGTATGTGTACCAATATGGAGGTAACTAATTTTGTTCGCCTACTTCACATCAAGCCGTGTAAAGGTACTGAAACCTATTGTCTATGGGCAGGGGGATATTCATTCGGCTAACACAGACGGACCCACGAACTCGTAATAAAACTAAAATAGGGAAAATTGGAATAAAGTACCGTAATGGCCTAACCCTAACCTGGTACACATACTTCGGGAGTACCTTATGTTCAATATGATATTAATGTGCCTTAGTCTGTTATTGGTTATTATTAGGCCATTTGAGTGCTATTTTTATACCAACTGTGAGCTTTAATATTTTTGGATCTGTGCTGCATTTGTGTGCTTTCTATTAGCTTTTGTATGAAATTAACACTTGAAAATATATTTTGGTAATGTCCACATTTTTTTAGCTTGGTTGTTCTATATCGTAGAATGTAATATTTTGGCATGGTGTAATGCAGTTTTTAAAGAATACTGATTAAAAAGGAAGAAAAATTATATGTCTTCTGCAAATGTGACATAACAATTGTGGAATACTTTTTGGATTATTAATGTCAAAACACAATAATGACAAGTTTATTAGAGCTTGCTAGAAGACTGAGACAAGAGAGATTGTTCGTTAGATCTGAACAGGTGAGCCATAATAATAAATGATCTTATGGTTTTGTATGTGAACGTTTTATTATGAAACAAATATATTGGAAATCAAATATTGATATATAGGTCAGGTGTTGAGAATAATAGTCCACAAGAATATGGTAATATCAACGGGAAGCGGCCAATTTATAGATACTAACTTAACAATGAATTTTTTATCATTAGCTCATGTTTTGTTGCGTATTTTCAACTTGAATATCATTTAAATTCTTGAATGCTTCATTTACTTACTTTTCAAATATAGATACTGACATTATGATCCTATGTAACATATAAACCAACAAATATCAATAAAAGATAGTTGAAGAGTTTCTTTTGAGTGTTATCGGCTAACTGTATGCCAATCATTGTGTTTTACGAACCACGCAGTGCACTTTAATTTTCTCATTTTTCTCTGAAATTGATTGTGTACCTGATGTAAGGATCAATGCTCTATTGCCTACACTGAAAGCCAGTACTGATACTATTGTTTTATAAACAAACCGTCGTCTTACACGATAAACAACGGTAATAGCAATTGTTATAGCAATTGACAATGTGCCTTAATAAGGTCCATAAAAAATGATAAGTAAAATACGATAATAATATGTTCTGCAAACTCTGACAATGACAATCTTCCAAACTCAAATTTTTCTATTATATTCCTCAAATCAAGAATTTTATTAATCAAATGGGGATATCTCAAAATTTATAATTTGATTTTCGATATGATTCATGATGGTTGTATATGGCGTTTTTCTTGATTAAAAACTAATACCCAATACTCCTTGTTAAATATGAAAAGATGAGAATGTTATTTCCTAATATTATTTTTGACAGGAAGCTATTTATCAGCTGAACAAACAGATCAGACAAAGATCCGAACAACTGTCCCATGTTTTCTGGACAACTAGACAACATCATCTCAATTTGAATCATTTTATTACGAACAGTTCGCATGGTATGAAGTTATTTGTAGCACTTGTTTGGTCTTTGTTTGAGTGTTCACAACCATGCACTGTATATAGTTTGGAATTCTACAATTCTGCTTTTGATACCAATTATATTAATCATTTTATTAATGAAAAATAAGGATATTCTGTTATTGTTGTGATTTCAAAAAAAGATGATGGATCTTTATTTTGGGAGTTCTTGAGCAATAAAATTTTTGACACAAAGTCAACTTGGATCGTATTGTAGATTTGTTGTTCATGCTGTTGTTGTTGTGACCAAAAGTTCTCAATTGTACTATTAGATTATTATTAACCTGATTCAGATTATTTGTAGTTTATGCTGGAAGTTGCTATAACAGATGGCAAATGCTTTTACATTTCTTGATGTTTCTTCAGGGCTTCATAGGGCTCGTTATTTTTCCTCATTATCTGCTTGTGATCAATTTTTGTAGGATGATTCCAAGTAAACTGTGTACACTTGCACACATTGGAGGTAGACTTGTCATAAGTTTGTGCGTTATCCCTATCTTTTTTCGTTAAATGAAAAGAGTAAACATACTTAGTTGCATATAGATAATAGGAATTTCGTTTTTCATTAGAATGCATTGTTTTGATGAAATTGGTATTTCGTTGTTACTTCTCAAGACCTATTGATTTGAGAACTTTCGACTGAGTGTTTGTATACTATCACCAATAGTAGTTATTCGTTGGAATGAATCTCTACTTTGTGAATCATGTTTTTGAGTACTCAGTAATCAAAATTTCATTTCATCAGGCACTCCAGCAAACTGCTCCCAGAGATCAAGTCATCTTGAAAATGTTCGCTTCGTTGATGGTTACAAAGAACTTGGATATCAGGAATCAATGTATGGAAACTTCTTGCAAACATTTCGAAGCAATCCAACCCTCACTGCAGCTTGTCTTGCATACGGAGAGAAACTGTCACTCGATTCTACGTTACAAGTTGTGCAGACTGTTGTGTTGGGATTATATGGAAATAGTATCATATCAGGAGACCACAGGCATTTGTTAGAGGTATGTGTTGGACATAAAATGGACCTATGGATCACTTTGTTATTATGTTGTTGTGAAAAAATCACTTTTTTTTTCAACCACACAATTTCCAGCTTTGAAATTTTCAGAGGTAAAAGCTTGTTGTTGTTGCTAGATGGCTATCTAAAAATTTCTGTGGGCTCGTTTTTACTTCGAAGTTATGTGTGATGATATCATCAGAATTAAAAATTGCCAAAACTACTAGCGGTCAAACTACCAGTATTGTAAAAGATTTAATACTAGTTCGTTTTGGCTTTCGTGTCCATTTGTTTAAGCGTTGCACACTTGTTTATTAATAATAGACATTGCAATAGTTTTAATATTCTTGAAGGATTTTAATTTTTCTAACAAATCACAACCCTGGAATAATTTTGATCAATACTATCTTTTTCACCAGTTAATGGAAACCTTGCTTTTACTTCAACTTGCAAATGAAGACCAACCAAGAAGAATACTTCACAAAGGAAATGCTGCCTTCTGCATCGTTTACAAGTGAGATTCTTTTTACTTTATTAACTATAGTCCGCTCCTCGATGTTGGATAGTCTGATGAGCAAGTTTTTTACATATATTACCAACTGGAATGTCTTTGTGTAAATCCAATGGCCACGGATGGAGCATAACATGTATATCCTAACTCAAGTCTAAACTGTTAAAAAATATCTTAATACAACCAAATACTTCAATCAGTTGAATGGAACAAAATGTTTGAAACAGGAATATATTTTTATATTCATAATTGTATGGTTTTAATACCACTGATATGCTGATGCTCATTGTAGCATTTGATAGGAATACACTTGCCATCTCACCTCTGATTACATTACGTGGGTTCGCAAGTTCATGGTTCGCCATATGATTTAGCCGGCTTATCGTCTTGGCTCTCCTCGGAATAAATATACAATTTCTGTCCTAATCAGGATTTATATATGTCTTATTTTTAAAAGTTCATACATTTTAGTTAAAATGAATGTTTGACTAGGATTGTGTTATTCTTTTTTCAGACTCTTTACAGAATCACTGTTGTCCGGAAAGTTATTCTTAACTGCAGCATTGCATAAGCCTATTATGCAGGTGAGCAAATGAATAGGAATGAATAATTCTTGCTAGAACTTTGTAGAAATTTAATATCACTTCATTTATTAATCTAGTTGTAATAATCAGAGACTGCATTGTGTTCAAATTTATTTTGAAATATCTTAAACATAGCCAATTTGCATAGTTGTCGTCCCTGCTCTGGAAAGAAATTTAGATTAAATTCATATTTGGCAGATATATATTACAGCATCTTGTATGCAAGTTCTTATTTCATATAGGAATACAATGACTAATGTAGCATTATGATGTCATGATTGATTGACAATTGCAGGAAATATGTCTTTCATTATTGTAGCATAATTTTGCAGTTTTCAGCGCTTGTATATATCTTTTTTTGGATGACTGTACTAATACTATAGTATGAGATCATAGTATTCTTGTATGTTTGGCACACATCAGAACCATGACCAAATGTTTTCTTCCATTATGTATGATTGGCTTCAAAAATAGCCATGATTCATACAAAAAGTCTGTCTTACTGAGTCCAGAAAAATAAAATTATTTGCCAAAGCTTTTATTCTGTGGCATCAATATTTTTGATTGATCCACTGGCTCATTGTAATCCTACTTCGCCTTTGGATAAGTCAGCGCTAAAAATCAATATTCTAATGCATTGGTTAAATGAAATGTAGATTGATTGTTTTTGGCAACATATTTAGCCAATTTCAATCTTAATTACTAACGGGCTGAGAATAATAAGCATGAAGAAATTGTAAAAACTTCAAAAAAACCATTGAACCTTATAAATAATAATAATCATGCAATTGTGATTATGTTTGACAATTCTGATTTATTAAAGGTTTGTAATAAAGAAAATTACAATTTAAAATTGATATAATAATAATATTTACACGTTGTTGTGATAAATCTTATACTTATTGTCAAAAAATAATTTTAACATTGAACAATATAAATTTGATCTATTATGTAGTTGTCACAGTATACCGTCATGTCGGAATTTACAAAGGATGCATTTGAAATATTTTCTAAATCTATTATTACCTGAATTGTCACATACCACTTTTCATTAATTTTAATAGTCTCGCCATTTTCATGATATCTTCACATTTTTAAATAAAATGTGGAGGTAGCGTCATTGCTAATCTTATTTGATTGTGAGTTGTGACTATCCTATCTGGAATGCATTTGTTTTCCTTCTTTCTATATTTACTTGTCTTGTCATTATCTGACGTATTGACTCAACTTGAACTTTCAACCTGTGTTTAGATTTTGCTCTATTTGGAGTTTTTAAGCATACATACCTATTCATGATATTAGCATGTAGTTTGGTTTTGACAAATTTGGAATTTCGGCTATTTCAGAACACTCATTTTTTTCCAAGATCATATTTACTGCTTCATAAGCGTTTTGTAAAATTGTAAAAATAACAGACTCAAATATATGCCTAAAAAAAAACAGTCATTTTAAAGTTTACAATATTCATATACAGTTAATGTGATGGACAGGCCATTATTGTATTTTTCGACATTTTTATAAGGATTGTGAATCATTCTCGCTTTTCTATTGTTTCCTGTAATACTTGTTCAGCTTTGATTGATAGAAATTGTTTTGAACAATTTTTACTAGGTCAATCATTTTGTATATTTCCATCTTTCAAATCCAGTATTGTATAGCATAAGATGGTACAACAAATAGTTACAATTTGCGCGCCTCAGAAGTATGTGTACGTTCGCCTACTTTACATCAAGTTGTGTAAAGAGACTGAAACCTATGAGCAGGGGGTATATTCACTCGGCTATCACAGACAGTCTCCGAACTCCTAATAGAACTAAAATAAGGAAAAACGGAATGAAAGTATGGCCTAACCCTAACCTGGTATATACACTGCGGAGTACCCAATTTTGTTCCTTTAAATGTGAACCTATGGTTATTTCCTGATGAAGGAAAAACTAGAAATTCGTAATGCCAAAGTGAAGTGTAATGTACTAAATAGCTTATTAACATTTGGAAAGTATTTTTTTTTTGTTCTGAATAAATTTTCATATATAATGCACTCATTCAGTCATATTTATATAAACTTTCCGAGGATGAAAAAATGGGCTAAATGTAGGATTGTTTGGTAGTGTATTTTATTTGTATATATTAAAAATCCATTTTTTATTATAATTTGCAATTAATCATTTTCTATTAGGTAGCCTATGTATTAGGTCTAAAAATAAACACTAAAACATCTTCTGGCTATCTGAATCACGGCAAAACTCTCAAATTTCAATATTTTTCAATTCCATTTTATACTCAGTTTTTGGATTTTAATGACATTTTAAATTTTCCATTTTTTTCATCACTTTTCTATCATTTATTTCCATTGCTTTGAAAATAAATATTTTTGAACTTTCAGGTTCTTATGGATGACGAACTCTATCTCGAGCGGGATTCAAACAGAATTTTGGATTGTTTTAGTCAAGTTGAAATTGAGAAAAGATTTGGTAAAAAGGACGACCCCGAGTTTCAGGTAAATTAAAGTGATATTTGAGGTATACATCATGATCAGGGATGATCATTGATCAAAACTAAATAGTCTTCTATTTTTATGATTTCCGAATATTATTGTTGAATTACATTTTGGAATATTGATTATATCCTAAAATCGAATATAATAATTCGGATGTTCAATTCATTTTGAACATTCATGATTATCAATATGTAAAACTTCCCAATTTTTTTCTTCAATTCCTAATTTTTAATATGGCACATTTATTTGCCTTTCTCTCCAAACAAGGATGTACACAAGTAGCCATTGAAAAATAAGGAGACACTATGGTTTGATAATCCCTGAATTTTCCAAGTTGAGCATTTCTTACCCAATTCATTGCACCCTGGGTTAGGCAGAAGGCATGGGATTCAAACCCAGGATTTTAACCTTCGATGTGGTTAAATTTAACTCTTTGACCACTACGCCATCAAAATTTTTGTAAGTTTCATTCTTCTCTCTAATATCTAAAAATATTACTATTTCAGAGTCGAGTAAAGAAACATTTAGAAGGAACTGAAGGTCACTTGTTCGAGATTTGTCAAAGTTTCATCGACAGCTTACATGCGGCTATGTATTGTTTTCCTCAATCTATGGGTTGGGTGATCGCAAGAGCTTATCATATTGTGAAGGAAGCAGGTGAGAATGTATTCTGTCATAGGAGTCATACAATCAATATTTGGTTAACTGAATGTATGAGCTAAGACTAAGAATGTAATTTAAGAAATGAACCTGATTTGATTGGGTTAATTAAGGCAGTGTTTTTAAACATTTTTCATCATGGTTTACGACCCACTTGGCACGGTCAAATTAATTTGCGACCCTTCGGGAACTGAAATGAAAAATAAAATAAAATTTGATGATTTTGAAAAAAATAATAAAATTGACAATACCTTTATTAATAATGAGACTGATTTTCTTGCATATTTTTACACAAAAGATCAGATCTTGGCTCTATTTCAGTGATGGTCTGTCTCAGTACTGGTTCCTAATCTTTCGAATTTAATCTATAAGTTTGTGTTGGAAAAGATTTAACCCTGATTCCCATTGAGCCCCGGTATAACAGACAGTCATTTTAGAATGTACAATATAGGATATTATACTGAAATTATTTTTTGTAACTTTAATCAATATTGAGTCACTTATGCTAATTTTTTGTACTTCAACATAATAAAGCCAATATGCTTTCTTATAAGATTTTATAGATTTGAATCATGCATTTAACACCAAGCATATTAACTAGCATATTCCAGGATATTTAAATCTACTGGCATTTCTACTTTCAATTTGATAGTTTTGCATTATTTAAGTAGGCTACCTAATATAATTTATTCTACAAATACAGGTCTAATCATGCGGAACCGAGAGCTATTTCTTTGAAAATAATCTATAAGCTTTATTTCGTTAGGTTTTTCGTTACACATTGTCTTTTTGTTCCAAATTTCATTCGATTATCTTCAAAAACTGCGGAGATACAACTTGTTATTTATTGTTTTTACATTCTTGTGGTCACAGTTTTTGAGTCAGTGTAATGCTAAGCATCATTAAAATGCCAATATCGACATTATTTTTTGAACATTTTCACAAACTTGGTATTGTTTTCTTAGTTATACTTTGATTTATCCATAGGCGCAGTTTTTATTCAAATTGGATAAACTTTAATTTTTTTTTTGTAACATAATCTACCTAATATAATACAGGTCTAGTCAGTCATGCAGAAGCGAGAGCTCTTTGTGCTGATTTGATGTTGCAAATGTTCATATGTCCTGCTATTGTTAATCCTGAACTGTATGGTGTATCGGGTGATGCTCCTATCAGTGATTTCACAAGATTTAATTTGATGCAGATCGCTCAGGTATTTTTATTGTCAATATTTGTTTTCTGCAACATTGATTAATAAAATGCTAAGTTTCTTTTGTATTGACACAATGGTTTTGTGTTGCCATTTACTGATAGTATTATTTGCAGTCCATTAATTGGTTAGGACATTTGGGAACTTGGAAAATTCACTATATCTTGGGCAGGCACCGTCAGGGAAATTCAAAGCAAATCGATAATTTGAATACATTCAAAATTCTTTATATTCAATATACAGTACTGTATCTTTGAATTTAGAACGTTTTTATTTAACAATTAGAGATTTTGTGCCGTTTGGCAAGTAGATCAAAATGTACAATATCTCAACTGATAAGAAACAACACAGAGAATTACCGTATATGTGATCAACTTGAGTAATTTTTAGGTGAAAAGGATTTTTTTTCGCAAATTAATTCAAACTTGACTATCCAGTTTATTTTTTTCAGGTATTGCAAGTGTTAGCACTACGAGATGAAGATGCTCAACCAGACAATTCATTATATGGAAGATTTGAAAAGGTATTATCTAGCATTTATAATATTTAAATTGCCTAAAATATGTGACAGGAGTAACAAATTGCAATGAAGAAATATTTATTTCATTTCAGTATATTTTTTTTTCTCATGCTTTTCTCTCTGAACAAGGTTGTGAGTAAGCAGCCACTGATATAAGCATGAGATTCGAACTTGCAACCTTCAACCTACAAATCCACTTGGTATAGCCAAGTTTTTTCGTGACCCTCAGGAACTAAAATGAAATTAAAGGAAAATTTAATTTTACAGAAAAAATTAAAAAAAAAAAATAACAAAACTGACAATACCTTCAATGTGACCGATGTCCTTGCATATTCTCCCAAAAAAGAATCAATCTTGACACTTTTTTGGTACTGGTTTCGAATTTGATAGGTATTTTGTTTTGTTAGTGTTGAAAAAGATTTCGTCGCGGACCCTTTCACGACCCACCATGGGGGCGGGACCCCAGTTATTATTTTTTGATATTAGCTATGCTTTATATATTTTAGCAGACTCAATCATTGCCACAGGCTAAGATCAGTTTTTCTCACAAAATGTCATTTTTTTCAGAATTGTATGAGTTCTTTATTGGACACTGTGATTAGTACGTGGCACACAGATGGTCTACCTATGTCTTCATCATCAACATCTACTCCTGGTCATGGGTTCACTGATTCTGCTGTTTTTATAACTTGTTCTCAACTAGCACAGTTAATAAAATTGCTTAGAGATATACAGGTAGGCGTTGACCTTTTTTTTTCATTAAAACGCGTTATGTTTTATATCGACACCTCAAAACCAAACAGTGCTAAGTCCACTTTTCCAAAAAATGACATTTTTCAATTGCTGATTTTCCTGGACTTAGCTCTACATTTTGGTCTATTTGCCTTATCTCTAGGTGCTCTAGATCTCAAGACAGCTATGGACATAACCCTGCTTTTTTTAGGGCATTTGAGAACTAAACAGAGCTGTGTCTACTATAGTGGACTTAGCTCTGGATAACTGCATTGTAAGTTGGGGCTAAGTCCGTTTTTTGGACATAGCTCCTCTCAAAAAATATAATACAAAGCGTTAAGTCCATACCAGCCTCTATATATAATAACATAATAAAGGGGTCCTAAGTCCAATGAAATTGTTTCTGAAAATTGAGAGCCAAAAAGGGTTAAGTCCAAAAAAAAAAACCCCCAAAAAAAATTGGGGCGGAGCACAAATTTTTTTATACCATCTAAATATGGCCTTCATTGTAACTTTGGTGGACCATAAAAACTGGACATCCTTGATGTAAGGCATTAGAGAAATAAAAAAAAGAAACAAAAAAAAAACGTTTTTTGCGTTTTTCTCAAAACTAGAAAAATGGACTAAGCCCAATTTGGATTTCATGCGTCGATATGTGAAAATGTGGTACAGAAATACTGTATCTAAAACAGAGAAATGGGTTTTCATCTTTTGATTTTGATAATGCAAAGAAGGAAGCTTATTGTGTCAGGATTTATATCCCCTTATGCAACTACCGGTTCACGACAGAATTTGAACTTTTGAAGTAATTAGTGTTGTGATGACTAGCACGTCTGAATAGCCAATCAAGGAGCCAAAAAGAAAGAATTCATGGATTTTTCATACAACCTCCAATCATTTGGTTCATGTATTAGTTCATTAGTAAATTGCGTCTTATGTTATGATTCAAACAATTTATTTACCAGATTCTGGCACAAATATCATTAAAAAAAGGAGCAGTCCAAATTGCTCAAATATGTATATGCAATATTGAACAATCCCTAAAAAGTAATAAATTTTATTTAAATCTATCGTTTCCTTCAGCTCAATGCTGGGAAGAACGCAGATAATTTTTTTACCCAGGTATGACAAAGTCAAAGAAAAATTATCAAAAAGTGATTTCAAAATCAATTGTTAATTGCTATCTCAACTGATAACAAAAAAATACAGAGAAAACAATGATCTTTTTATTTAGGTCGTTTTAGATGTGATCAACATCAAGATATAGTTATTTGTGTAATTTTTCTTATGCATTAATTTAGAATGTATTCAATATCCCACATTAGAAATATTTTTCCAGAATTTATCCGAAATAGTGGAATATTCGGTTTTGTGACCTCTTCGTTACCTTTTTCAAGGTAGTGCATGCATGGGAATCTCGACTAAGAATAATATTCATATGTTGCATTGTCAGCATATTTGCGCCCAGCCGGTCATCCACGAAGCCATATGGCTTAAATGCTTGAAATTTTTTAATCGATGGAGTGATCAAAGAGACAATTTTAAACTCTTCAGTAACTGCAAAATTTTTATTTCGTTTAATTTTACTCTAAATACTCTTTATGATTCTCATGGAAATGGAACTCGTGATTCAGAAACAAACTTAATTATGAAGTTGTATGAATAAAAAATTTGTACATAATATATCAATGGAATGAGTTAATTTCTGTTTAATAGATTGTTTAATAATTCTAAATACTTTATTATATTTCAAAAATGTGGTTGACAGTGATGATTGTGTTAATTTTAGTAAAATTATGTATTTTTTGCTTTTGTCTTTGATCTTATTACTGCAAAATGGATATGTTTAAACCACTTGATTTTCAAGATAATTACGTAAGACAATTGTAAAACACTAAACTATGTAATATGGACATCCCTCATGTGGATAAACATGGAATAAAATTCCAATATTCGATAATATTCGGCCGTTTTGTCTTTTGTTAGCTTATACTAACAGGCACCGAATGAGGCACATTTTAAATCCCCTTTTCCCAAAAACCAATCGTGTGCCTTTATAAGCCGGTGCGCCCAATTTATGGATCAGATAGTGCTTTATGCTTTATTGCCTACACTCGAAAACAGTATCAGTATTGCTTTGAAAACCGTTTCGTCTTATAGGCCGATGTGTCCTACGTATTAATAAAAACCAAATCCACGCAATTTATTCAAAGTGCAGTGCGTCTTATGGTCTGTAAAATACGATAAATAAATTGGTAATTTGTTCTTGACCACTGACTGACACTTCTCATTGCATAATATTTCAAAAAATTCAGAGTTTACATTTATATGGCCTCAATAAACAAAACATGCATTGTATTGTCGGACATGGTGAAAATTCAATGAATCATTAACCTGGTTTGTTTCCATTGTACCTGTATGCAATGTTATTACTCGATCACGCTTGGGCCAGTGAAATTTTCATCTTTAAGCTATATTGCCCAATGCAATCAATAAAGTTATGCTGAATAAATGAGCTGAGGTACACACTTAAATTAATGAGTTTTCTGTTTAATAATTTGAGAATGCTAGCTTCGATGAAAAAGCGCTTCTCAAGTACTTTTCCATCAAGAGATTTTAATTTTCTCACTCACTTATTATTGATCATTACCTTATAAGAATAAATGGAAATTCATTCATTCTGAGATGAATATTATGTTAATAAAGTTCTTAACATTAGGTTAGGGTGTTGGTGTTTTCAATCTGGAAATAAAAATTTTCAGATTTATTTGTTTGTGATATAATATGTTTATGTTCCTTTATCATATGCTTGAAAAATGGAATCGTAAATTTTGAAGACCATTATTACTAGGTAAAAACCGGTATATATTTTTAATAGCTATGATATTTAGGCACATGAGGTAATTTAGTATTGTCAAATTATGTCCCAATTGTAACCACTCATTTTTTATTTTATTTGCAAATTTATTTTTTGATTGTAAATTAACAACAGACTTACATGGTATCTGAACGGATTTTTTATTAAATTTTTTTTATTTTTCTCATGAATCCATTTCATTCCTACACATCTTATTCACACTTAAATCAAGAGTTTTGAGTTCAAAACCGCAGTTGTTTAGGAATTACAAAATTTCTATCAAAATTCATTTATATAAAAATATTTCTAGCATGCCGATGTGAGAGGAGTGGACCAATCATCTTTAGCTGAAGTTTTGTCACATCTTCCAGAGAACCCTCCACCTGCTCTGGCTCAACTTCTACAGAGAAGAGAGTCTGTACCTGGTGTATTGCTACAGAATGAACACTATTCACCTGATGGTGAAAATTTTCTAACGCATGGTGAGAATCTTTACCATTGATTTCAAAACTACTAATTGTTAGGAATGCACCCGCCACCTTGCTTTCGATTACCCTGCATGTGTTCGCAGGTTCGAATCCCGTAGTAATAATTAATGAGAGGATTGCTGGACTTTTCAGTGCAACAGTGTGGTGCGCTGGTTGGTTACGGCTTCCTCTACCATTGAGTCTATGTATCTGAGACAAATAACTAGTTAACCAATCCCATATCCAACGTGGACTGTTAACCGGACGAGAGGCCGTGGTTCGCCGTATGATTAAGCCCTCTTATCGATTTTTCTCTCCCCCAGGATAAATATGTAAATCCTATCCTAACTATTCTAAACTAAATGTTAATCTGCTGAATTCGGTCAAAATATTGACATGACACTGGCTTTTCCGGCTTTCCTTTTATACAAAAGTTTTTCCAGGAATTTAGGTTTTGTGAAATCCACTACCTCATGGCTGTTTTCCTGATCCTCATAATTCCAAATGCTTCATATTTTGCACCATTGTAAGGATTAGTAAGGATTGTTGCGCCACATTAATTGTTTATGGATACAGTAGCTCTTGGCATCGTTATTTTGCTCAGGGATGAGTCAACTTTACTTCTGAGTCAATGTCTTACTTTACCTCAGTTGAAGCAAATTCTAAACATCCATTAAATTGATATGAAAAATACTAATCCTGGTCAAATGAAATATTTGATTTGTTTAATATTTTGTATTACTTTTTCGTAGTTCATCGACCATCATTTGACATATTTTTATTATTAAATAGATCAAAACCATCGTGGCAGCACTGGTTCCGGGTCTGGTTCAGGGGGTCATCCCAGTCCTTTACCATCCAGAGCTGGCGGCTTTTCCGTTGATGGAGGATCGTCACCTAGTACCGCACCCAACTCGTCAAAAAGAATCTTTTCAAAAAGCATCAAACGTACGTATTTATATGAGTAAAAATTTTACTTGAGCATTATGATGTTTTGAGTTGAAATCATTTGATTGTGATGTTTTGTTGGTGTGCTGTGCTCATTGTAACATACGGGACATTTAGTGGCGCTATAGGAGTACTTATACCAATATGGAGGTAACTAATTTTGTTCGCCCACTTCACATCAAGTTGTGTAAAGGGACTGAAGCCTATGGACAGGGGTATATTTACTTGGCTAACACTGGCAGTCCCCAAACTCGTAATCGAACTAAAATAAGGAAAAACGGAATAAAATTATAGCCCAACCCTAACCTGGTACACATACTATGGGAGTACCCATTTAGTTTTGAAGCAATTATAGAAAATTCATTCAAGCGAGGTATGCTTTCAATGCAGTATGCTTCAAATGTCAATAGGGACTTTTAGGTTTGAACTCTTCTATATTCACAAAATTTGGTTCGATAGCTGCTAGCTACACGTTTTTTATATAAGAGATAAAAAAATTTCCCTAACATATTCTTTGTTATTTTATTCTACGGTTGCCTCTATGTCAAATTTTAAAATATTTGTTTATATATTTATATATATATATTTTATAATCCTAGTTTCTTCATTTTTGATTTATTTGAAAATGGTAAATTTGATGCTTTTCATTTTATAATGTTTGCAATTTGAAGTGTTTTATTATAGTAAAACTGAAACCTGAACTGAACTGCATGTTTTTTGTTCATTGATTTTTATCATTTTGTCATCCAACATCATTAACTAGCGAAAGGAAAGTCTGGGAAAACGACTGATTCGCATTCGAAACGATCTGAGTTGAATGGAAGTGGAAATCATGCAACAGTATTGCCAAAAAGTGGTTCTGGCTCTGGAGGTAACATTATTTACAATATAATCAGATCATGGTATACTTGAAATCTTAGTAGAAAGATTGGATCGTTTGTAAATACTGAATTATTTTTGAGTCAATATCTTGATTCCGTGTTTTCAGTAAATTTTTTTTGATACTTTTGTGTGTGTGTGTGTTCTGTGTGTTATAATTTTATTTTGTGTGTTGCTTTTTCATGCATTTTGGGATATTTGAAATTAGTTTAATGAATTTACCTAATCAATTTTGTGTAGCTTCGCAGTAAAGTTGAAATATACCCAAACAATATTATTATGCCTGTTATGCTGTGATTAATTTATTCAACAAATGTTACAAACACAAAATGGAATATTTTCACAAGATAATATAGCATATAAATCCATTTTTATGTTACATCGTGACTTCCTCTTAATTAGGAAAATTCATTATTGTATCATGGATTGTGACATTTTGAACATTTTATATGAAATTTTGAGTCCTTACATACCAGGCCTATAGGTAATTTCTTGGCGATCATTTGTCCAGATCAAACTTGAAGTTATGCTTTTCAGATTCACTTTCTGATGACGCAAAATCACAGACTGCTAACGATGGACCATCCGTTGTCTTAGTAATATCACTAGGAAGTTCAATGGGATCTGCTCCTGATCAACCAGGACTTTTATCAGAAAATGAGGTAGAATGTGATATATATTATTTATATAAAACATATTTTTAATGTATTATAGATTGATTTTGGAAAAAGATTTACATATGTATCATACGGGAGAAGAAATGATCATATGGTAGACCATTTTCTGTTATCATTTACCAGTCAATGTTGGCTATGAAAACAGTTAACAGATTCATTTCAGATGCATGTACTTGGTGATGCAGGAAACCGTAACCCTAGTCATAACGTGGTGGGTGCTCAGCGATCCTCTTGTATTTATACACCCCCTCCAAGATTCATACCTACAAATCCATGCAGAAAAATTACAGTTGCAATGACAAGCGTTATACTAACACGAAATACAATATGCCAATGTTAGTCTATACTTGACTCAGGTTCGGTACAAATTGAATAAAGAATTTCAGGATTAACTCACGTAATTGTCAAGACAGTTTCTTTAACTAGTTTTTAAAACAAATCAAAATTTCTTATTATCTGGATAAGGTTCTTGAATTACAAGCATGCAATGAAATGCAGAGTGCTGAACTTAACTCTGAATCAGACGTAGTTGCTGCCGATGCCGGGAATCTCAATGACGCGGAAAGAATGGATAAAAGACTTCGATTTTCACTTTATTCAACCGGTAATCTTTGACAATAATCGACTATCTTTTGATTTTTTTATGGTTGCCATTGTTGCTCAATTAACAAGAAAAAAAAATTTTCGATAAATTTTTTTTGGTAATGGTGTAAACATGGCAACTATATAAAATCATGTGTGTGTGACTAATAAACAATTTATCATTTTTTGAATAGTAGAAGGTACTTGGATAATTTGTATATAACTGTGGGTCTTTTCTTCTTGTTCCTTCCTACCGGTAATTGTTTGTGGCCACTGCTTCTAGGATTTCATGGAAAGTGTTTATATTATTTTTATCTTGAATAGTATTTGTGAAATTAGTTTTAGCAATTTTGAAACACATCACAGTAATTATGAATTTCCACAGTGAGTCTAATATGAATCTAATTTCATATTGAATTTCAGAAAAAAGGGCCTATTTTTCCTCCGCAGTTCAAAAATTGGTTATTTTAATAATCTGTTGTATATATCTTGTTCAAGCTGGTTTTTAATTCTTCAATCACATATTTTGTAGATTTGAGTGAGTTGGGTGAGGGAGAAGCAATGTCTAGTACATCTGGTTCATCTATTGAAGATATGGATCCTACAGAAAGTGTTCAAGCTGATGATACCAGCAGTTTTAGAGGAACAAGCTCGCATGGTATCCAGGTAAAATAATGTATTTGATGATATCTATTAAGACGATCTAGTGAGAGTATATATGCCCAATTAAAAATAAACAGTTAGACTATGTCCAGATCCCAGTCCATTGTTGTTTTATACAAAACTGTTTCTCAAGCTTTAATATATTAGCATATTGGTGTCCTGAATACGTAGGGTCGCAATTGTACCACACTTGTTTTACTTGTACCACCATTTCCAACGTTATATGCTAACTATTTCAATAGGTTTTCAACTATATTGACCCATATCTTAGGTACTTTTTCTTCCTCAACCAGTGACTGCTTTATAGAGTCTCGTGGAAAAAAAGTTTCAAGTGCCTTCCTTGCCTACTGTCATATTTTTCATGTTTCAATACAAACTTACCTTCCTGAAATATCGAATCGGTAACTATTGGCATAAGTTTCTCAATGTCTGATTGGACCTAAATGTGTTTTGCAAAAGGCTGTCAAATCCATTTTTGAGTTTCTTCACATGTGGTTGGTCTAGTCTTTTTTCACTTTTCAGGATGAAGATTTTGAGGGTGAAGGGGATCTTGAAAGTGTTCCTCATACAAACAACGACGAGGCATTAAAAGCACTCGAAAGAAAGTTACCTACCTCAAGGTAAGACTTTGAAATTACAAATTATGATATAATATTTTGACAAAAAGTCTAAAATCCACTGCTTTTTAGTGTTTTACGATTGGTTTTCGAATAATTTTTTATTTCAAATACCAGTTTTGTACAGAAACAGTAAATTTAACCAATATTCAGAACTTTTTATGTTTGAGGTGAATCCTTGGCAAGCTTAATACTAATGCTTGTGTTATAAGCATCATAGTCAAACAAATGACTATTTAATTAAAATAGTCGATTATGTTCAAAACATGTAGATTAGTTATTCATTACTTATTTTCCATGTATATGAATGACTCCCACTTTCCGTTTCCTTCTATGTTATTGTTTGGTTGCATATGCCATTTTACTGAACTTTTTTTTTTGCTTTTCAAACTTTCCATTCAGAGAAAGCATAGAGGACAAAATGCGTAAATTTGAGATACGATCTCAGTTGGGTGTAAGATTTGGTGGTGCAGTTGTGGCAGCACTGGAATCGGACGAAGCAGAACGCACTGCCAACCTCAACAGCAATTCCAATTACTTGGATACAAGGAGTGAAACATGGAGCACGGATGCTTATGCATCAGATTCTGAAACTCCGACAGAACAAGCGGAATCAGTTAGTCAGTCTGATCGACGTTTACAAGAGATTGCTGAAAATCCAGATCAAGGACCTGGACAAATGAGGTTTGTTATTTTTTCATGAAACTTGTATTACTGGAGGAAGCCCACAGAAAAACTTATGCAGTGTCTTTGGGCATGGTCTTTACATAGATATTATGAAAACGAAATAGCAAAATGAAATTGCTCACTATTGTGTACATTTAAAGTTGAATAAAACCTGAAGTGCAATCAGCTATAAGAGAACTTTATAACCACATATTCATAAATAGGAAATTTTTCATCCCTTGTTTTTTTTAAAATTAGGCTGATCTGCTAGTTAAGTTTTCTCACTTACTTAAGATCAGGTGTGTACCGATTGTTTTTGAGGTGCAATTAATCTTATGATACTCCTACAGGAGTAGTAATGCTGGTCCATACCTGGCACTGCTACCCCGTGATGAAGATTCACGAAGTGATGTTTGGAGTGTTGAGGTTTTACCGAGCGACAGTGAGCCACCGGATGTCAAACCAGAAGATAGATTACAAGAACTTGAATCTGAATCAACTGCCGTAAGTATAGTGAATAAATCGAATCTGTGAATAGCATTTCAATCCATAACATATCTTAAAATGCTACATGAAAATTTTGTTTGGTTTAAGAAGCAGAACAGTGCAAATCTCTGTAACGGATTGAAATCTCGTATATATTGTGGAACATTATATTAAATAGCAAATATATTTCTATCCAGTGATTATCAATAAAAAATTTACTCATCATATATTTGTTGAAATTAGACATTTTGATCCAGAAAAGTTAAGATAAAATTTTGATTTGATTGTCTCTATACAGCCTGTATTGTCTGACCGTCCGTTTTCAATATAATTAAATATATATCAACATATAAAAATTTATGTTCTGAATCAGTGTTTCTCGCGCCCCATTTTTAGAATTTGTTAAGTCTCGCGCCCCCCCTCAAAAATAACTAGCTAACAGTTAGCTACAAATAACAGATAGTAAGGCAAAGTATGTTTTGTTTATGAAAATACGTGGATGGAACGTAAATATCCAGAATAAGGCGGGCAAGATCAAATCTAACAAATATTTTTATTTTAAATTAGCTTCACGCCTTCTCTACGAGACACCGCGCTTTACCGTTGTTCTAAATTCAACAATTAATCATATCAAATATTAACTAGTTTGGATTGCATTCCAGTATTGCATTCACAGCCGAAAAATCCAATCCTGCTATATTTTTATGAACGGTGTTTCCTGTGGATATAAACGAGTTTTGTGCTCTGTTTTAGGGACCTGAAGACCAAATTGATCAATTAGAAGATAACAGGTCTCGAGCTAGCACTCCGGGATTGAGTGCGGCGTCTGGTGTTAGCGGAACTTCTGGATTAAGTCTTGTTTCTGATAATATCCAAGCTAAAGGTTGGCCCCAAGGTGAGGATTGAGAAGAACTGTATCCATAATATTACTGCTAAAACTTGTGTGGAACTCTTATTTTTTTTCCCTAATTTTGCTTTTTGAAATGAAGCAACGGTGTTCATTAGTGTCAGTATCTTTGACTCAAACAGTGATTGGGGAATGGACTGATTTGGGTACTCCCGTAGTATGTGTACCAGGTTAGGGTTAGGCCGTAATTTTATTCCTATTTTCCTTATTTTAGTCATTACGAGTTCGGTAACTGTCTGTGTTAGCCCAGGCTGCCCATAGGCATCCGTCCGTCCCTTTACACAAGTTGATGTAAAGTAGGTGAACAAAATTGGTTACCTCCATATTGGTAAACACACTTCTGGAGTGCCCTGATTTGAGTCACACTCGGGGATGTCCAAATAGAATTGAATATTGAAGTCCATCCAGAATTAAACTGACCTAAAATTTCATCATTCAGTTTCTTAAAACAGCTCTAATTAGAAGACCAATCAAATTACTATTCATCATAACTTTGCTATATTCCCAAATTCAGAATCATTTGACAATATTTGAATATTTCATGCCTTAAAATATTACTGTATTTTTAATACGAGATTATTCGGTTATGGTATTCACATAATATTTGTTTTGCAGTTTTCAGTACATAGCCATTTGCCTATAAGCAGTCACCTGTCACCTTTGCCATAATTTTTCAAATATTTTTTTTTAGGTGGGGAGGAACATGGCTCAAGTTCAGAAAGAAGTTTTGGAAAAACTCCGAGTAGTATCAGTCCGGATGCTGATGATATGATATCAAGTCACAGAGCAACAAATTCTGGAGGCAACAGCAGCAGAGTGAGTGCTGCAGGAAGTAGTAACAGTAGTGGAAGTGGTGAAGGTGGAGCACAGGGTAATAGGTATGAATTAAAACAGTTTTTTAATCAAGACTTACTCAGTACGGCCAAATTTTTTTTTTGGTTTCCCAGGAACTAAAATAAAAATAAAAGTGAAACTTGATTAGATCGATGGGCTTGCATATTTGTGAACAAAAGATTGAATCTTAGCTCTGTTCGGTTGATCTCAGTACTGGGTCCAAATATTTTGCATTTGATTGGTATTTTGTTTCAACATGAGTTATTGTTGGAAAAGATTTTATCGCGACCTCATTGAGTCATTTCATAACCAACCGGTTGGCCGGGATTTCCAATTTGAACAGCCTTGAACTAAAGCAATGGTGTAACTAAAGCCAATGTTAATTAATTGCAATCAAGTAATTGTCAAAACTAGCATTTTTGTATACGATTCCAAAATCTTTTCTTGATGTTAACTTTGACGTTTAATTTTCTGTTTCATAGATTTTGTTAAATTTTTTCTATTTAAAATTTGTATTAAATAATATATTCATTTAGGAAAAGAGCATATTTGGCCCTCTTGTTCTTAGAGTTTTTAAAATTGCATTTTACATATCATATTTTTTGCTAGTTGTTAGAGTTCAACTATGATGGCATCATAGGTTAAAGATTGTGGCTCAGCATTGTGACTTAACATGCTGAGCATTAGGAATAAGTTTGCGATTGCAGCTCTGATTACCCTGCATGGGTTCACAAGCTCAAATCCTGCGGGAATACCATGTGCGAGAGGATTACTGGACTCCTCGCCATCGTGGGTTGATTCTCTTAACTGCTGGTTGATTGTGGCTTTTGCACCATCAAGTCCACACATCTGAAACAAATAACTGGATAACTAATCCAATACCTGACATAGATTGGTAACCGGATGAGAGGCCGGGATACACCCTATCATTAAACCGTCTTATCACCTTTTCTCTTCCCTGGGATAAATATGTAAATCCTATCTTATATAAGTGGAAGGTTGTAGAGAGCAAGGACTCAAAAACATTGTATAAAAAATTGATCATTTTTATCTGAAGTAGACATCCTCACTCTCAATACTACTCAGTAACAACACAATTCTGATCGTTTCTATTTTAGGCCACAAACTGCTCCAACATCATTTTCAATGCATAATTTATTGATGGAAAGCCAAGTACAATCAGTTAGTATGGGCGGACAAGACATGCCTGATTCAGCCAAAAACAAAAATGAAGGAGTAAACGGACTTATGAAAAGAAGTAAATCCGCCTCGCCTGCATATCTAGGAAGAGTCGGTGGTCTCGGAAAGAAGCAACCGACAAGCCCTGTGTCGATGCCGAGCGGAGCTAACCATCTGAACTGGCCTGAAAAACCATCAAGATATAATAAACACAATGAGAATAGTAAAATTGATAACGATAAATACCTTGATCGTAATGTACTTAGCGATGTTGCAAGTTCACCTTTGACAGGGACAATCCCAGAAGCGGCCTCTACTCCCGATAATTCAGCCGCTATGACTCATGATGTAGTATTAGAATCTACAGATACAAACACTATCAAACGAAGTCCATATAAACATAACGATGCGTTTTCTACGGACAGAGCTTCCGCTTTCAATTCTGTACCATCTTCCCTCGCACGAGACATTTCAGCAGACGCACAGAATCTTGAAACTTCATCTGCAGGTTTAAAGTCTCACGACCTTAGTTATTATAATATATCTGATCCGACAAGACTTACAAAAGATTCTTCCGAAACTTCAGCGCCGTATGTTAACCATGCCGAATCAAATGGAACTATACCAGGATCTCAAGCTAATTCTACAATAACTATGAGTACATTTGTCCCGATTACATCGACTGGCACATTTTCTCCTAGTCCTCCGTTCCCATATGCTGATGTTTCATCATTTGATCCATTGGCATCATCAAGACCAACTTTATCAGGTACAGTAGTTGCATTCTTTGATTGGATTCATTGTCTGAAATCCTGTTTGCCATGATTATGTGTGTGAGGTGTTGTTGTTTTTCCATCGTTGCATTGTTATTCGCTTTTTAAATGATCCTCCTCGTATTGGTTCACATGATTACGTATGAAATGAGTTCTTGATTTTTTACTGGTATAGGGTATTCTTAGGAATGTGAAAAAGACTTTTTTTTAAATTTACCTATTTATGGCCATTCCTATGTATGACGTGGACTGGTAATCAGATTTGAAGCGTCCGATTGGCTAATTATTCTCTATTTAAGTAGGTTTGATTATAATGTTCTTGGTCTACTAGTATATGCTGACTTAGTGGTAAAATAATTTGTTTTTTCACCAATCTCTTGAATGTTTGTAGTTATTTTCAAACTTGTTTTCTTGTTTCAGACAATCAAGCTTCTGCAGCAATCAAGACAAAACCAGTTTCAACCGGAAATAATCTTCTTAATATGAACTCTATGTCAGCTGCATTGGTCGACTTATCTATGCGTAAGCTGTTTTAAATAATGTATTTACATATCTCTCACTCTGAACAAAAGCTTTATTCAAGTCTCCACTGATATATGTTAGGAGCAATTATCTTTGAAAAAACAAGGAATCACGTTGTTGCATGCTTTGCAGAATTTTTTTACAAATTGTAGTTGAAGTCGACACTCTAGCTAGGGCACAGCACTCGTCATTAAATATTCCGCATTTAGTCGATGGTAAAAGAAGAGACTAAGTTACATCTTGATTCCTATTCTATTTTTAATTTAGAGCTTTTGAAAATTGATAAAGTATTTTTGGAATACACCTTGGTTCAATTCTTCAATCATTTTTGTTTTTTTACTCATTCCTTCTATAGGTTATATATTTTTTTTTTAATTTCATACTTTCACTCCCAACTCGTTCAAACAGCCGCAGTTGCGTTAGAAGCTACTGTTTCTGGAAGAACTGAAATATTCCCAATTGTGTACTGTATACCCAATTTATCACACTCTGGGTAAAGGGGTTGACATAGGGTTTAAACTTCTAACCCCTACGGCACCAAGTTTTATTTTTGTCTCCTTCGAAAATTTATCCAAATATTTCCCGCTCATTTCTACTGCAGCTGGGGATCAATCAGCAGCCAATCGAGGTGTGGATCAACAGTCTCAGATTCCTAGTCCTGTTCTGACACCAGGTCCCGGAGCTCGACCGAAAAACGGTCCTTTAACAAAACATGGCAGTATTGACCTTGATAATTTGGCTGGTAGAGGAAAGAAACAACCTTGGTGGAAGAGTCCCAAACTACCTGTGCTGTCAACCAAAAGGAAAGCTCCAAAGCTTCCACCATTGCAGGTTTGCTTTTTTGAGTCTTATGTACATTCATTATTACTGTTATCATCTGTCATTTCAAAATAGGGATGGCTGGTCCAAATCGCCATTGTAAGGCCTTTCCTGGTAAAGAAAATTGTGATTTTGTATAAACAGCAAGTTGGGAATAGAAATGAATATATGATCATATGAATTGCCTCCCTGTAGATGGCTATCAGCCTTCTATAGAGGCAGCAAATTTGATTATTAGGGCAGAATTACATGACAGACATGTACTGTCAAAAGTCTGTAGCTCAAATGAAAAATATGTTTATATTCACAACTTGATTTTATATTTAGCAAAAATCAGGCTTGCTGTGTTTAATTATCTAATCATACTCTTTTCTCACATGTTGTATTTTAAAGTATTTGTTCTATATCTTGCCGCAGAGTTCAAAAGAAGAATCTTCTGTCTCAGGAAACGGGGATGCCACCGATGGTTATTTGAAAACATCATCTGATATTCATTTATTAAATGGTTCAGATCAAGGTATGCCATTGGGGAAAACTATAGTTAAACTTTTTTAAGGAGATTAATTCATTAAAATAACTGACACTGGCTAAACAATGTCAAAAGTTTTGGCGTTTTAATCAATTGACTCATCTGTCACCAGTGGCGCAGCCAGGGGGGGTTTCGGGGTCGAAACCCCCTCTTTTGAATTTTCTGAAAAGTGAAAAAGTTGCCCATAACACGTGCAATTGTCTTCTGCTAAAATCGTCGTTCGTTTTCATCAACGCGGCGTGTTATTTATGCCGTGAACGCCCTTCACATTGGTGTTTATTCTCTTTAAATCACAAATTTGTGCCGCGGGAACAATGATAATTATTTTATTTTTGTACTCGCACGGAAATGTGAAAACTGAAAAAGCGTGCAATTGCCTTTCTTAAAATGGCCCATGTTTTCATCAGCGTGTTATTTAGGCCGTAAACGCCCTTACGTCGGTTTTTATTCTTTCTAAATCATAAATTTGTGCCACGATAAACATGATAATTATTTTATTTTTGTACTTTGCACGGAATTGTGAATTTGTGAGTTATTATAAGTTCATCGGTGGCGAGGTTCTAAAGACAAAAGAAGGAGTAAAACCGCGATCTAAATTTGATTGAAAAGCGGCATTATAAAATACTGAAAATAAAACCGTAAAAAATATAAGTTTTGTTGACTCCCGCGACAGTCTAAAAACGCTTTTCTAGTCGCAAAATCGCAAAATTTCGTGTGCCTGCGGCGCACATTATGTTTGGTCGCCGTTTAGGAACATACCGTCACCAAAATCGAAACACGGTTAATTGTGGGTGGGATTTGCCTTTTATCCATTACTTTAAAATTGTCGTAGAAAATTTTCGTGTTATCATTAAACAAGGTTGAAAACGCGATTTTTTCCCGGTTTGTGATGATATATATATAAGATAATTAATCTGAAGTATATCCATCAATTTTTATTGTACTGAAATAAATTTTACTCCATGAGAATTTACAGCAGATTTACGGATTTTTCAGGAGATTTTATCTTTAAAAATAATCGGAGTGTCAGCATTGCGATTGAACGGAGTCAATGTTACAAGCACATCTCAAATTTGTCGAATTTGCAAAATAGAAAAAATAGGGATCAAAACAATATATAATAGGCGACGGGCGTTTTGTTTTGTCGACGCAAACGCTGGTTAAATTGAAGACAATTAAATTAATAAGGCAAGACATTTTAAATACGCCCTTATCGGTCACGAATTGATTACTTTGCACAACAGAAAAATCATTTTCTCGTTGTAAACGTCGGCTCTTTTAACAAGTGGCGTAATCGCGGCGATGAATATGTATTTTTGATTTAACGATATACTTCATATGCATTTTCATTGTACGAAATATAATTGTACTTTTCGGGATTTTATATCAGTTATTGAGATTTTTCTAACGGCGATAACGAGTTGGCAAGATTCCAAAAATACGTATTAAAATTAAATACACCGTTTATCTCATATTTTTACGTCCACCGATCGCCGTGGCATTTCAGAGAACTAATGTTTTAATTTTGACGTAAGAAGAAGCAACCGCGAATTACGTTGGACACAATTAAATTAATAGGCTATATAAAGACATTTTAGAATTTTGTAGTTGTCATGGATTGAATATTTCACGCGATAAGAATAATCATTATACGCTGAAAAGACGTCCCTTTAACGAGCGCGTAATGCGAAGACTGTTACAGACCGCAATGGAAATTTATGATTATGAAACCCCCCCTTTTGAAAATCCTGGCTGCGCGCCTGTCTGTCACATTCAGCATCAGTAAAACTAGAATAAATCCAGATGCTTGGCGATGTGATGCAATAGAACTAATGCATAGAATATCCTGCCAATTTTTTTGAAAATAGCATTTTTATTTATTTCCAGGTGCCGATTTGCCAACACCTTTGGAACCCAAGTCTACGTCCTCTCCTTCATCTAATGCTTTGGTGAGATATTATAAAAAAATATTAATTTTTAATGATGGGAGGCGAGGGTGTGCACAGGCCACAACCTGTTCCGCTAAGTCGTATAGCGTCGCCCTTGTCAACACTTCAATTTTTTTCATCAAGCATGAAATCCTAATCTGACAGTTTATGCTTAAGAAGCCGCTTGCTTGGATAAAAAAAAACATAATGTTGATGTGTTAAATCAGGGTCGTCCAACCCACGGAAGCATTTCGTGTGGCCCGGGCTGTATTTTTCAGAATTGAATAAAAAAAATTGGAGTAAAACTATTTTTCTAGTGATGTAGTATACAAATAAGTGATACAAATGATTTGTTTATTTTTCCGAAATAACGCTCTACCAGCCCTTTCAAACGAGCCATGAGTGCCATTTTGAATCAAAACGAACTCGGAGGAGATATTGATAAATGAAGGTGCCTTAGCCGCTTCCACACTTGTTCTATTAGTACTCTATATGACGTTATCGCAAAACAAACGAAGCCATCCTCAGATTAATAATTCGTTAAGAATTCGTATATTATGTATTGTTTGGGTTGCCAATGTTTTACGTCTGGAAATAAGAGGTGTTTGCAAAAATAGCTTGTCAAGACAGACCATAACTCGCCTTGTCGAAGGGTTTGAGAACTCTACAGCGGAAACTTTAAGTGCAGAGGCGGGAAAATTTTCATCGTATTCCTTGGTGCTTGACAAAAGCACTGACATTAAGGTTACTGCTCAGTTGGCGATCTTCTTGCGGGGAAGTAATAATGATTTTGAAATTATCGGAGAGCTTGCAGCTATTATCCCTATTATGAGTGTGGCTAGCGGCATTGGTCTGTTGAGAGCTGTTATGAAAAAGATCAAGCGTCTTGGCTTGTCTTTGGCCAAACTTTCGGAAATAACTATTGATGGTGCCCTGTCAATGGTTGGGAAACAACAGTTTTATTGTTCTAATAATTGTGAAAGTTTGTTGTGGGGGTATTGTTTGTTTTTTCATTAACCTGTATAGTCAGTGTAGCAAAACTAGAACATAACTATTATATTAGGTGGCCAGCGCAATTATAAGTAAACTACATGTGGCCCTTCGGCCAAAAAAGTTGGGACTACCCTGTGGTAAATCTTTTGTTGTTTTGCCCGATGAATTTATTTCAGTGAGTTTGAGCGATAGCTGCATTCTTCCTCTTGCTTTTCCTGCGAAATTTTTTGTGTGGTCCAGCTAGATGTCCGAGGCTGGTTATATGGCCCACTGACAAAAAATGTAAAGCATTGTAATTGTGATTTTAGTATTCTAATAGATACTTTGTTGATAGCAATGTCACACTCACTGAAGTATAAACGAGACTCATGTCGAAGCAAAGTTACAAGTGACTATACTGATTCAGGGCAATTCATTACACTGAGGAAAATACTGATTATGAAGTTATCTTTCAGAAACCATAGATAATAATTCATGTCTATCCAAAGTGTAGCTAGTTCTGTATCATAGAATTTTTAACAGAAAATTGAAGGTTAAAACGGTTTCTCAACATACTGTGTTTCTCGCTTCATATTTACCAATCTTTTTCTACAGGATACATTAGGTGAAGACATAATGGAGAAATACATGAGAAAGGCGGCATCGAACCAATCTTCACCTCGGCCATCTAGGGCAGGTGGATCGGCCACAGATGTTCCCGTACCGTCAGGTGCCTCTGCATTGAATCGAAACAGCATAGCGGGTTCTAGTCCTGGACATGACCACACCAAATCTTCTTTAGATGATACAAACGATAAGACATTAGACTCGCAAAAGTTAGTGAATATTTATTGAATTGTGCTGTAATGTATTTAGATCTGTATCTGAAAGATTCGAGTTGTCATATTATCTGAATTTGGATTCTATGTTGTATTTATAGGGTATTCTTTCCATCATGCACCAAAAGCGGAATTTTATAATTTAGGTATACACTCCTATGAAAAACCTCCAGCAAAAAGTATTTTTAGGTCTCTGGAGGTTGATGATTTTTCGACTTTTGAATGAATTTTTATGTGTGTTTTATCACAAAATATATATTCTATTTTTGGTTCATTGTTCTCAACTAAGTTAGTTCGAATAAATATATAATTTAAAGTAATTAATTTTTGTTTATATAACATTTTCTATTTTTTTTTAGTCCGAATAGTTCATCAACGACTGACCCTCAATCAACTCCAAGTAATATATCTAGTACAGCCAGCGATAGAACTGTGACGACAATGACGCAAGGAACGTCACCGAATTTGTCTCCCCCTACTCCTGGCAAACCTGCCAAAGCGATTCCGTCTACTTGTCCTGCCATGAAAAACGAATATAAACCTGATCCAGAACAATTAATTATGGATACGCAGCGTAAATTAAGACTCATGTTAGCGACGAGCGAATCTTTGCCAGAATCGACACGGTTTCCTGGAATATTGTCAAGTATTGGTATCGAAGCATTAGCCGGTTATCATTTATCTTCACGACCTATTCAACAGGATGAGGGGGATCGTTCACAAGGAAATAGAAATAAGTAAGCTTCACCATCTTGGATTGCTTAAATCGAATAATTTGTTTTTTTCAAACATTCCAAAATATTGAAAAAGATTTTACCACGATCCCCATTATGCCCTTTCGCGACACATCGAGGGGTTGGGACCCCCAGTTTGAAGAAGTCGTGCAACATTGAGATATATATGTTGGAGAGGGTGGCTTTTGAAATGCACGACTAATAAAATGATTTGGTTGATTTACTTTCAATACGGTTACAATGAAATAAGTGTACAGGAATTGAAATATATATACCGGTACTCGTAATATATTGGGATGCAATTTTTTTATTTTTGTCAAAAAAAAATTTCTGTGATTTTTATTTGATTCCTTCTATATAATTCTATGAGAATAAGTTCTAATTTTCTTGGGGTATAAATAAAAAAGTTAAAAAAGTGCCACATACTTGAATATGATAATGACACAATATCTTTTTTTCTACTTAATAATTTCAGTCACTCAATTTATTTTATATTTTAGTTCAAGAAAAGAAATCCTGTCATTCCTAAGATTACAATTAGCAGAAGCTGTAAGTTTGCAAGATCACTCAAGAATCGCTCAAATTCATGAAACTACAAGATGCATACATGTACTTGATAGCAAAGGATGTAAGACACTGTTACAGGTGAGTTGGTCTCTTTTTTGCTCATCATTTTTTGCTAAGTGACTAACACAGACTACCGGTACTATAGAAGATTTGATACTACTTTGAAATGGCCTTCGTGTCCATATATTTGAGCTTGCTTTAAATATGATTGAAATGAACTTGATGAATGACATGCGATAGTAGGCCTACCTGTTCATAAAGTGGAACAATTGAAAAAACCATTGCATCAACGGCTGTCTGATCGGGAAATCAGGCTTTTGGGGCCGTTTTCTGATCACCAGCAGTTATAGTAGTGTTACCAAAAGGAGATAGTGAGCTTATCTTTAACTAATTGTAACCACCTCAGAAGAGTTTACCATTACTAAGCAAAGCTGCAACACAATATTAAACTTATTTCAGAATCTATGGAGAGAATACAAACAGAGATCTGCCTATGTTGCTTATTTAGTGAGAACAAAACAAGCTTTGTTGACAACGTCGTCTTATCTTCAACATATGTTTCGATGTACAGAACGTGATCAAGAGACATGCAGGTACTTTATTCAATATTCAGTGTTTCAACCTTTTTTTTTCTGAACAAAGCACTGAACAAGTGGTATTAGTATTATACTAAATGACCTAGGACTAACTAAGCTTGAGTAGCCTACTGCTAGGGATGGGAAATGTAGAATAATTTACTATTCTAGAATAGTTAAATCGAATCCAGAATACCGAATCCTATTCTATTTTCATACTTATTCAAATAGTGGGAATTTCCACATTGCTGGATTTAGATGTTAAAAAAATTGCAAATGTATTACTTACTATAAATGTATTATCTATTTTGAAATGTCCTGAACATTGGATTTCATGTATGTAATCCCTAAATACTAATAAATGCTGATATGCTAAATTAGGACACGCTTTACACACTTTAATAGTAAGCGGTTAAATATAAAATAGACATGAAACGGCGTTAAATCATTATTAATGTAAGTCTGCCGAGTATACTAAAACATACCCGCTGAGAATTAATTAGATGCTGAACCAGCGTGTGGCCACTGCAACCTATGCGCCGTTGTAAAATATTAAATTTAACCACTATCAATTAAAATCAACCTTTTATTCTGTGAGAGGAAAGACACGTAAAACCAGTTCCCGTAAACGCGATTTCGTACTTAGTTATTAGGTAATAACATCTAAAGACGAACTCATTTTCTATGATTATCGTTACATATCATTATCTACCCAGACTTGGCCCTACTCAAATTCGATACGCCACTATCTTCGCCAGATGCGGCAACTTTTTTCAAAATTCATCGGCGACTAAAATACGACAGACTTTCGATCAAACGTGCGTCTATCTTGAACAATAGAAATGTTATCATTAATCATTATCTACCCAGACTTAGTCCTACTCAAATTCAATACGTCACTATCTTCGCCAGATGCGGCAACTTTTTTCAAAATTTATTGGCGACTAAAATACTACAGACACTTGATCAAACGTGCGTCTATCTTGAACGATAGAAACGGACCGAAAAATATGTAATCTTTTGAGAGTGAAATTTAAATGTGACAGTTGTTCGCGTTTTGCGATATAACTTTGTATTTCGGAAAATGGTATAATAAAATTATTCGTAAATAATATTTGATCTAAATTAATCGCGAGTAATGTTATAACATTTAACGCCTGGCCTTTGGTTTACGTGCATCATTTTTTGGGGAAACTCGTAGGTCGCGAAAAATCATTTAATATAAAATGAAGCAAAGCACGTCTGTAAACAATTAAAGATTGTTGCATTCAGATTATCGGAATATCACCAGTAAGTCGGCACAAATAACGCTAGCTAGATAGCAAAGAAGGAAAACGTAAAAATGATGCAATAAAGAGTCCTCGCCGTGAGGTTATATTGCCGACTTCTTGTCCTGAATATGCCGATTGAAATTACAGTGTTTGATGTTTACCGATTAACGGGTTCTTTGCGAGCAGACGCAAGTTTAATTAAACGAGAGAGATTTCCACGCAAGAAAAACGCTCGTCTATAATTGACAAATTAGAAACCTGAAATACAAAAATTGACGCATGGCGCCGGAAACCGAATCCTGTTATCGGATCCCGTTGGATTCGAATACTTTGGGATTCGAATCCTCCGGATTCGGTATTCTATATTGCCCATCCCTACCTACTGCTTACAAAGATTTTGCATTAGTTGGCTGACATGGTAATCCTTAACCCAGTGGTTCCCATCGTTTTATGGCTTGTGGCCTTCGTCAGGAGGCTTTTAGAACTCATCAAGCAATAAAATAAGGACGAATGGTAGGTTTTCTTGTGAAGGGAAAAGTAAAATCAGTCTCGCGCTAAGCATTGTGGCTCCCTTCCAACGAAGCAGGGGCCCCCAGTCACGAACTGCTGCCCCAGATCATAAGTTTTGAAAGTTCTCCATACTTAAGACTGGGGCTCCGAGAGACGAACCTGGGGTCTCTGCGAGCTATTCGTTTAATTAATAAAATACTGATTACTGATGAATTTGACGTTTTAAGAGCAGATTCTGGGAATAAAAGAAGTATTTTTTCAGGAAATGGATTTTTATGCCGTGACACTCTAGAAATTATCTCACACTGTTGGAGTGTACCCCTGGTATACAATTCTGCAATTCTTGTTTATACAAGTTAGAATGTGCGTGCCTTATCAACCATACATTCTGTATAGCATGCCTTTGAAATAGTTGATGGTAAAATTTACATTTGCTGATATTTTATAGTTTAACTACGAAATTTACTAGCATGAATCTAATATACAAAAACGCATAATTTTGTTATTCCAGGCGTTATTTAACATCAAGATTTGTCAGTCTGTTTTTGAAACGAATGGATACGCAATTACGTGTTTTTCGAACCCGTTTTACAAGCGCTACAGCTGCTGATGAGAAAGTTGCTCTTGTCAGGGAATTTTTAAGTTTCTTGTATGGAGAAATGTCTAAAGACAAAGTATGGGCAGGTATGTCTTATATAAAGTTTTGTATTTTCCAGGATGTGGATTCTTAGTTTGTTTTTATTTATTATTTATATAGCAGCCATAACCAGAATAGTATCTTCGAACTAATGAAGTCTGAATAGTGTCTTGTAATAGAAAGTCAAAAATATTGTCTTGTAATAGAAAGTCAAAACTTGACCAAAAACAATTGAAGAAGGCAAAAAATTTAGTTTCTAGGAGTTCATAACTAGATAACCTTTGGAGTTGGGAATCAGAAATTTTGTCAATCTGCTGACAGAATCTGAAGTATTTCTGCGGGGTAATTCAACGGGTCGCGGGTATAAGCAACAAGCAATGTGTTGAGAAATACTCTGTTTGAAATAATAGTGTCATCATTTCTTCACTTAATTAGATACATATATCTAATATTTTTTCTTTGAATAAATAAGAAATATCAGGGTATCAAACTACAAACTGCTGAATGACATGTTCTTACTTTTAACTAGAGTTGTTGTTCATACTGTTGAATTTTATTTTTTCATGTTTTTGAAATATTCCAGGAGCAAGTGAGGAACAACTTATTGAAGCAGAGAGAGCTATTGAAAGATCAGTTTTCATTTACATTTATAAAATTGCTATTTATCCAAATGGTGAAGGTGATGTCATGAGAGACGAGTAAGTTTGATTCTTTGTATTTATTGATAATATAACTTTATCATTCTGTAAAAAATGACTATTTTTTCGTCGATGTTTCATATTTTCGTGCGGCCGAATCTGTGATCTTTACCTTGCGACGACAACATCAACATCTATTGCCTGTCAACCTATTTTGGTAAAACAAAACCCCAATGAAACCTGGGAACCTCTGTGCAATAGCTTATTGTCTGAATTGTTTAAAATATAAATAAATATATAAGAAACCTAATACTAACATTACAAAATGATCTTTCAAGTCAAGTTTAATAATAATGGAGCTTAATAAAGATTATATTTAATCAGTCTACACATAATAATATATCATATTTGAATAGAAACTTGCGGAACCTTTGGACTAGGTACTCCCATAGTGTGTAGACCAGGTCAGGGTTAGGTCATAATTTTTTTTCCGATTTTCCTTATTTTAGTTCTATTACGAGTTCAGGGACTGTCTGTGTTAGCCAAGTGAATATACTCCCTGCCCATACGTTTCAGTCCCTTTACACAACTTGATGTAAAATAGGCGAACAAAATTATTTACCTCCATATTGGTACACACACTTATGGAGCTCCCGCTGAACTATAGGTCGCGGCTGAACCCCAGTTGAAAACCACTTTAGCAAAGAGGCTAGCTTTGGAAGTTCAGAAGAATCAACTTGCATTTTCTGATTGGATGAATGTACTATGCATATTCGGGGCTCCTGAAGTATGCGAACCAAGATGGCGGACATCGGAATGTAATATGTGTACTAGGTTAGGGTTAGGCCATAATTTTAGGTATAAATACTACGGGAGGCTCTTGGCTAGTCTTCGAACTGATAATAGGACTAAAATAAGGAAAATTGAAAAAAATTTATCGCCCAACCCTAACCTGTTACCCAGTTACGTTCCGATGTCCGCCATCTTGGTTCGCATACTTCGGGAGCACCGCATATTCTTGTACACAACAAATTCCAATTCCTAGTTCAATTTTACTGTCCCAGTTTCCTTTGCACAACTCAAATTTATCTTTATCTATTTCCAGGGTCTATCAAGGACACATATCACATCTAGCAGCTGTGGTTACACCTCACCATCCGGCATTACAAATACCTAAAAAATATTTGAACGAATGTCCTTGGATGTCAGCTCAGGCAGAAACGAAATCTATCAACGCATATAAAACTCCAAGGGACAAACTTGCTGCCGTACTTCGATGCTGCAACACCATCATGAATTTATTGAAAATGGCAGATGAAGGGACGGTTCCTGGAGCTGATGATTTTACTCCAGTTCTTGTGTATGTTTTAATTATGGTAAGCAAGATTTTTGTATCCTTCATTCCAGCTTTTCAGCATTTTCTCTTTTTTTTTTCAAAATTCGCTTTCAATAACTTTTTGAATAGTAAAAAAAACAAAGCACAATGTTCAAATATATGGACACGAAGGCCCAAAATGAATTAGTATGGGTACTATCGGTGCTGTGGTCTTCCCACTTTGCCTGACCACCTGGTAGAAATGAACGAGGAACTGCCACAATATGCGCAGTTTTTAATTTTGATGACGTTATTGCATACAAAAAAGCAAATCTCATAGAACACACAGAAATATTTGAAATAAATAGAAGTAATAGCCTTCTAGCGACAACAACAATCTTTAACCACTGAAAATTCACAGCAATTGGTCCAGTAATCATGGAGATATTTTTTCTTGTAACAGGCAAATCCACCCCACCTTCTTTCCACCGTACAGTATATAACAAGTTTTATTGGAGATGAACTAACTGGAGAAGATTCTTACTGGTGGATGCAATTCACGGCAGCTACTGAATTTATTAAAACTATCGATGAAAGAAAGTGATTTCATTAGAAAAGTAGACACAGTTTTTCAATTTATTCGTGTGAAACGGATTAACTTTGCCCACTTTTTGCAACTCCACACATATAACTTTCAATTTTTCTGATAAGATGAATGATGTTTATATGAACAGGGTTGGTCTTAACTAGGTCTTAACTTCTGGATTTGAGCGCGCCATGGTTGGTGCTGGGCGATTTTTGAATATCTGATGAAGCAAATTGAATAATTTCTTTGAATTGAATTTCGGATACTTGAGGAGATGTGTAATCGTATTTGACTTTTTCATTGTAATTGGTCCTTCAGACACATAAATTCCTTAAAAATATTCAATCCATCACTCAGACAGTTGGCTGAGTGTTAACACACAATAAGAAACATGTTTCATCATAACTCGTAGTCACTACTAAGAAGAGTCATATGTTAGAATTGTATTTTAAAAAAATTGCTTCTGTAGAAAAAATTAAGAATTTCACCTGGACCTGGCAGACGAAAAAATACAAGATGGCGGCGATTTGAATTTCCGTCTTGACCAATTTGTATAATTTACTATCCGATTCAAAATGCCCAGCCCTGCTAACGGTTACAGCATTCGATTTAGCTATGTAGGTGTCACAGGTTTGGAATCTCGAATTCTAACTACACTTCACCCAGAAGTTGGGTGGACACTACAGTGTCAAACCGTAAAGATTAAAGTATAACAGCTTTCTTATATATTGGTGACTGCTCTTTTTTCCGAGTGAGGACTTGGCAACTCCTTAAAAAAATATGTTTTTGGGTAAATTTCTGTATTTTAGAGCCGCATCACTTGTTGTTTCATAACTTGATCATCCAAGTATGTGTGAGTGATTCTGATTATTGTATGAAAATATTGTTCATATAATTAATAATGTTTCTAACCGGCGTTCGTTTTTTCCTACATAATTAATCTAATACCACATTACCTGAATCAAATTAGGTTTCAAATAATTGCTGTCGGAAATCTGTGAAATTAGTATTTACTAATATTTAAAGCATCAATTTTTTATATTTTGGTGTTATTGTAATGGTTTACATCTTCGTAAAAACATCATTTACTGTACTCTCCCTTTATACGAGTAAAATTGAAAATAATTTTCAAGTTCTGTAAACAAGTTTTCACCCCATCAATGTTTTGGTACTTTGAACAAAGATGGCGGACACCGAAACATAGTATGTGGATCAGGTTAGGGTTAGGCCATAATTTCAGGTACAAATACTACGGGAGTCACATGGCTTGTCCCCGAACTCGTATTAGAACTAAAATAAGAAAAATTGATATCAATTTATGGCCTAACCCTAACCTGGTACACAAACTACGCCCCGGTGTCCGCCATCGGTGCTCCCGAAGTATGCGAACCAAGATGACGGACATCGGAACGTAACATGGGTAACAGGTTAGGGTTAGGCGATAATTTTTTTCCAATTTTCCTTATTTTTTTAGTCCTATTATCAGTTCGAAGACAAGCCAAGAGCCTCCCGTAGTATTTATACCTAAAATTATGGCCTAACCCTAACCTATTACACATATTACATTCCGATGTCCGCCATCTTAGTTCACATACTACGGGAGTATGTATGTTTTGAATCAAATTAGTGATGTTATGATTCAAATATAATCTTTCCACGTTTCATCTCATAGAGAATGGCCATTTCAGACAGTCCTTTTACAACTATGCTCGCCCTTCGCTCAGTGTTTGTAGAATTTTGTTTGCAGATGTCCGACCTTGGTCAGACGAAACGTCACAGAAATTTGTTTGTATTTGTTCTGCTGCATCCTTGATTCACATCACTATAGAGGAAAAAGTTAGTTATTGAATATTACTCTAATCTTTAATTTCTCTACATATGTGCATCAATTCTCATTGTACCACTCTCTTACTAATCTATTAACTTATTTTTATTGTAAATGAATTAGACTTGGAAATTATATAATTAAACTTGTGAGTTTGTTCCTTTATATTGCATACTCCCTCATGTTCCGAATGTTTATATAATCTATCTGGGAAGACTGTGTTATCATTTCCCGTGTGCAAGCCAAGCCTCACATCTAGAATTCTGCCCAGTTGCTGATTGAAAGGGGTGCAACACAGCTCAGGCCGTGCTGAAGAAATACTTTAGCATTTACATCATTCAACTTGCTATTCAGATTTCTTCTACAATATGCTCCCTTTCATTCCTTATATTTTCAGTCTTATCTGTTGTAATTCTTGGTGTAATTTTATCTAATCTAGTATATTATCTTATCTTTCGATTTGATTTTCATATTATATAGTTATATTTTCATTCTGATAAATTATATCTTTCCGTAGGACAGTAATACATCACGCCTACATTCATTTCATGCCGTTTCATTGTTTTTTTTCTTTAATTTTTCTGTGATTTGGAAAATTCTGTTTTCTTTTTCTCTATGAGCCATCTTGAAAAATAATATAATGATGAGATTATCTTAGCACATGCTTAGTATTTTTTCAAACTACTTTCTAATTTTAATGAGAGGTGGGGTTTTCATATTCATTACTCGGGAATGGATTAATTTTATGTCGAAGCACAGCATCTCTCTTTAGTTAGGATTAGAATTTGCAGGATAATCAAGAGATGCCGGTAGCGAGCGTATTCCTTAAACTTCGCACGATGCGCCACACCGCCGTTTCAGATGCGTGGACTTGATTTGATTCCCGATCAGTTGAGTGTTGGAAATTTGTGATTTCCATGATTGTTTGGATTGTGATATTCCGTTGCTTGAAAGATAATGAACGTCATCGTAGATGATCGGCGTAGTCATCTATCCTAGATCAGTTCAATGTTCGACAAACAATTGTAAGTGTACAGGGCGAGCTTTCCGCCTTCAAACCTGTCTCAGTCGAATTATATTCGAAAAAAAAATATGGTACTATCATACCATTGCCTCATCACTGGGACTAAGCATTTTTGAATATCTGATGGTTATCGAATACTTAAATTACTGATGAAACGTAATCTATTACTCTGACAGTTTGTTGGGTGATCACACACAATAGGACAGGACAGGATTTGCATATTTATCCCGGGGGAGAGGAAAGCCGATAAGACGGCTTATCAATATGGCGAACCACGGCCTCTCGTCCGGTTACCATTCCAAGTCGGGTATGGGATTAGTTATATTGTTTGTTTTCGGAAGCATGGACTTGGTGGTGGAGGAAGCCGTAACCGACCAGCGGTTACGTGAACCACCCAACGACGGCGAGGAGTCCAGCAATCCTCTCGCACATAACCATCCCTGCATGGGATTCGAACCTGCGAACCCACGCAGAGTAATTAGAGGTGCGGTGGCGAGCGTATTCCTAACGCTTAGCCCGTTGAGCCACACCGCCGCGCAAGAAACAGGTTTCATTAATAAATCATTGGGAGAAAGAGAGTCATGTGTCAGAATTGCATTTTAAAAATTTGGCCCAAATAAAAAAAAATGAGAAACTCACCCTGACATTTGGTCGGACAAATAAACAAGATGGCGGCGATTCGAAATTTGACCCTCCGGAAGTATATATGTGTACACATATAGAGGTAACTAATTTTGTTCGCCTATTTTACATAAAGTTGTGTAAAGGGACTGAAACCTATAGACCGGGCATTCACTTGGCTAACACAGACAGTCCCCGAACTCGTAATAGAACTAAAACAAGAAAAATCAGAATAAAATTATTGCCTAATCTGGTACATATACCACGGGAGTACCAAAAATTCTTGTCTGAGCCGATTCGAATAATTTACTATTCGATTAGAAATGCCCAGCGCTCTTCACCACTTACGGCTAGGTTGGGTTATTGTCACAACTTTGTCGGTTTGGTTTGGTCAGTAATTGTTACATAAAACCGTAAAAAGGGAGACGATGGCCAACTTATCCGTCGCTCGGCGAATTTTGTTTGTTGCTAATCGACTGCAAGCTTTCATTGTTCAGTGTTTCGCACATATTATCTTTTGGGCAAACTCTAAGTCTTTCATAGCCATACATGTAGGAAAATCGATCTGCTATGTACTGCATAAAAGATTCATTTGTCGGATCACGCATCTAACATTCACCAAACATTCAAATCGTTACTAGTTGATCTCTAGCCTGGGAAAATGGATATTGTATTTACATGAAATCCAAACCTTCAGATCACGTCTTCGTCCACGAAAGCAGTCTACATTTGCTACGCGAACTAATACGGTACAGCGTGTTGGAATATCATATATTTTTTGGGCTACCAACCGTCCCGGAATGGGCGGGACAGTCCCGGAATTGACGTCTGCAGTCCCGAGCTGCACTAAGGTTGTCCCGGAATTTAATGACAACCAAGGCGTTGTAAAATAGAAGGCCACTGTAAGCGCGCCGGCTTCGTTTAAAACTGAAACGGATGTAATTCACGCAAATATATTTTTTTGATGAAAACCATAATATCTGTATGGTTCGTTCAAATAGGGGTGACTTGAAATTTGTGGATAAGACATGTTTCGTCAACCGTGACCTTCTGATGACATAACATTGAAATATGCTGAACAATGGCCTAATAGATGATAACATTATATACAGCAGTCACCTCAATTTGAGAAGATTAAAATCTTGATCCAGTGAAACTTATTGAAAAAATCAGTCAATAAAGTTGCAGCGTGTAACAATATTTTGTGTTTCTTAGTGTTTTTAGTTAATAATGCATTGTTAGCGTGAGGCTCTTTTGTGAGCAGGATTCCATTATTCAGTCAGTTTTTATTTCTTGTTTTTTTTGTCAAATAATTACCTACTTAGCACAAATTGTACATTTCCTCTGTTTTTTTTTTTTTTTTGCATTTGAGCGTCAAAAAGTAACATTTCACAAGTCTTCGATTATGTACAGTTGTGAACATAACGCTGCACGACGCTCTATGCGCACTATTGTTTTGACGTGCTTCGTGTTTCACAAGCTTCTGATGCATCAGTTTTCAAATTCTAAACATTAAGGTGTCCCGGAATGGTTTAACACAAAGTTGGCAACCCTGTATATATTGCACAGCAAGGTTAAAGAGCCCGGTCTCAAAATTTCACGTAGGCCGTTTTTGTTTTGAAAATTTACAAAACAAACGGGAATTGTGAATAGTGTGACGCAATTACAGCTATGATGATAACTTCCGTTTTAGAATGATTATATTACGTCATATTGTTATCGGTATGCTGCTATCTGGATTCAGAGACCTGATTAAAATTTGCTATTTAATTTTCAATTGCTCCACTATACGGTATCTTCCGCGGCCCAAACGTTTTATGTTGGGCAAGTTGAGCGTCGATTTGCGCAATTTTTCGTGACCGGTGAATAGAGTTTGTTTTTGTGCGAAAGGCAAAGTAATCGTGTAGAAGGAAGTTGCCATGTTAAGCAGCGAATTTTGATGTAATTATTAGAAAGTAGAGTGCAGAACAGATCGTTTGAATGATTAACCGTATGCAAGGCATTGAGGCAATTTCCTAAGCTACCAGCAGCGGGCCAGTGATCAGCTTACGACTTTGCTAGAAGTCAGTTTTGTTTATGTCGTAAATTCGTAGTCAGTCGTTTTGATTTTGTTTGAAGGTATATTAATGTTATGAATTATTGGACACGAAAAGTACATACAGATCGTTGTTTTATAATTTTACTATACTTGAATATTGCCGTGGGCAAACTTATTCACTTGTATAAAGTTATGTAGATGTAAGAAGATTGAAGCAAAAGTAGTAATATATATATATATATGATTTGGGCATGAGACTGAAGTAAAGCTCTGACAAAACCGTGAACTTTTTGGTACCACGATGTTGGGCTTTTCTATTTGATGTTTTTATGATAATTTACACACTTTACACTCAAAATAAAGCTAAATTGACTTTCGACTAAAGTCAGTCGGATTACTGAAATGACGATGACCGCTAAGGTAATTAGTCATACTCATCATGAAATCATACGCACCATCAAATACCAGTTGGAGTAAAGCATCCCAAGCCAACCTGCCGATCCGGGCGGATTTTTGTTTTTCTGATCTGTAATATGCACTTAGTCGACCACAAGCTGATATCCCCTCTATCGATTAAGCCCTTTGGCGGTTTTCGTTTGAATCTTTTTTTATTTGATTTTTCATGATAAGTCACATTTTTCAGCCGATTCTGTTACAAAAAGTCATATTTTTTTTAGCAAATAAATATAACTGTTATGTGCGAAATTGATCATTTCACATTTACAAAAAAAACACGTGAGCTACTTGATCTCAAAAATCGGTGTGTCAGATAAGATGCGAAAATCCATTGACAGTAACCAGTAATGCTAACCGGTTCGCTGATCTCATAAAACTCCGTGAGACGGTTCTATAGAACCGGTGCGAACCGGCTGAATACCACCACTGCCTATATATCATTCAATTAATGCATAAATAGAAAGGGAGATTGTATTTTAACAGCACAAACAAAAAGATATGTCATTGTTTTAGCATAGTGAGATGACGCTTTGGAAACAGTCGTGTGTACAGTCACTTCCGGATGCGTTAAGCAGGCTCTAACGAAAAAGTTTAATTTAGGACAAGGATGGCTTGTTCAATATCCACGGAACACATTCGTTGAAAATTCATTAATTCATGTATTTCATTAATTGTAATGATCGTAGAAAAATTGTTACCTCGAGGGCAATTTCAAAACAGTGTCTTGGATGTTATATTTTTTATTATTATTTCAATGAACTTCATTGCATAATAACATTTATTATATTTCATTCATGAAACCACAGTTTTTAGAACGTGGATTTACCTGAGTTAGGAGTAGAGCTGGCTAAATCGTCACAATCCTCTTCTCCGTAGACTGTTTATTGGGTGCTATATATAGGTAGCGGGTTAGACTATTTGGAACAACTACACAAAACGTGTACTACGAATCAAGTATTTAAACGTACATTAATGCATTACGTAAATGTGTGATATTTTGTCACCTGAAAGAAATTGTTTCCGTCTTGCATCTACCAATATTCTATGCCAAGTATATGTCACATATAGCTTTTGTCTGTATTGTCGCGAGGATTATTTGAGATCGAACATATGTATTAAATGCCGTTTTAAGGAGAACTTTTTTGATCAAGCAGTAACTTTGAAGTGTAAAATAATGAAAGAAATATTTGTGTAAATATTATCTTAAAAGGTAAACACCGCCAAATACTTCAAGTGCAGTGTTAAGGTCGCATGGGATAAAATATAATTAAATTCTTTTAATTTCGACTGTTGTGGTGAGTCGTATATATATCAGTATGAAAGGCTAACGTCACAATGCTGCAGTGTATATAAAGTCATCGGTAGTGTATGTTATTGAGATCACGTTAAGAGATCGCATACCAAAGCGGCACCCGGTAATATTTAGGTAGCGTGGGTTTTTTTATTGGTCGACCTTGATCTCTCTATATTATAATACGGTTATAATATTAAGGTGATATTGTGTGGTATAATATATTGCACGGCTGGTACGTTCAGTATCGCCGGCCTATGCTGTTCTATTGAAAATGAAATAATATATATAACAGCCCAAAATGGAGTTGTAATTATCCTACATTGTTTATTTCGTAAAAAATACTTTTTTGTAACAAGCAAAAGGAATATTTGCCAATGTTTATGTGCGACGCAAATTAAAAATCGAACGTAAGTGAACCATAAAAAAACGATTAAATAATAATAATCTTGTTAAAAAAAAAATTAACGAGAAAATTGCCATAATTTCTACGATTGTGAATACTCGTTTCGGAATACATTGTTTTTTAAGTACTGTATCCTAATAAAGTCTGGTATTGGTATTAAGAACTGAGAAATAACAAGAGAGCTATGCTCAAATATATGGACACGTAGAGTCACATAATTTTGATGACGTCATAGCGAAAAAAAAAGTAATAGCCTTCTGGAGAAAATTTTTATCTTTAACCACTAAAAATTTCAAAGCAATTGGTCCAGTATTCGAAGAGAAAAGCGACTTTTTAAAAACGTGTCAAGCGGTACTGAGTTAGCAGTCAGGCAGCATCTTACCTGTACACTGTAGGCCATATACGGTAATTGATCACAGAACAATTCTTCCCTTTCAAATTTTATGTTGTTTCCAGTAGACTCTCATCAAAATAAACAAATATAGTAGGCTACAAGTGCTACAACGCTTGCATTACTGCACTGGTAGGACCGTGAAAGAATAAGTTACGGTAATTTCATTGTGGTAAGACACCAGTACCAGTATCGTACTTAGGTACTGAGCTACCAGTACCGGTACCGAACCTGTAGGTCTGATATTCCGTTCCGCATACGATAGGCTATAAAACTTGCATTGCAGCATTAGTAATACCGCGGAAGGAATAAGTCAATTTCACTGCGTTACGGTACCTGTATGGCAACTTACCAGTACCGACCTACAGTAGCTGTAGTAGGTACTGAGCAAGACAATCGATCGCGAAACCGCTTGAAATAAGTGTAAAACAGTGTTCCCATGAGTAAAAATAAATACCGCGAAATTTTGTATGAAATATCATATCTCATAGGATTCATATAAAATTTAAGAATAAACAAAAGTAATAGCCTTCTAGCGAAAAAATTAATCTTTAACCACTGAAAATTTCAAAGCAATTGGTCCAGTATTCGAAGAGAAAAGCGACTTTTTAAAAACGTGTCAAAGAACAACAAGAACAAGAACAAGAACAAGAACAAGAACAAGAACAAGAACAACAACAACATAATATTGAAACGATCGTTATGTCCACTACGTGTCCAAAAATGCTAAGGAGAGAATTAATAGCGCACTGGAGAATGTGAAAATATTTAATTAACTTTAGTACTGATATGTTTATTAAACATAACATGGCATCAGTCATTGTTATGACAGTCTACATCTGTACACCAAGCGAGATCGACTCAAATTTATTAAAATGAATGACTCGCGAACCATATCGGTTTCGCCGAAAAAATTTGGGCGTAATATACACCACAGTTTATTACAATCTGTAGCCTACGTCACTGCTCATCTATAGCGAGGAAAATCGACACAAAGAAATACGAACGCTCGCCATTCCCAGACATTTTCGAGACGTGCGATATGGTATTTGACAGAGCAATAATGAATGTGACTGCCTATTTCAGCTCACTAAGCATTAGCTCAGTAGTTGTGTTTGAATCTACCTTCAGTAGGCAGGAAGGGAGGGTACTCTGTTTAACTTAACAATATACCGGTAATTGGCGTGTTGGTACGCTGACAAGTGCCGGTGCTTTTATAAAGGCATGCTTCCATTTCAGGCTGTGCTTGATATGCTGAAAAGAATAAGGTGTATGCGAGTGTACTGGGAACTTGTACAATGGATCTTGCAGTCATAATGTATTATGCTTGGCTGCTGTGAAGCGAACCATCATCATATACGTCGCCACACTGAAGTACCATTCAAGAATTTAAGCGGTGCAGAAAACAGCAGCACTTCAATAGGAACAAAGATTATGAAGCGGTAAGCGTTTTGTGACGTCGATTTAGCCTAGCCCAAGTCATTCCTGTAACCATGAAGGTAGGCAATATAGATAAAAAGAATATTTTAAATTGTTGTTTGTTGTGTTGTAGAGGACGTTTGCCTCTGTCGTTACACACCGAATATCGCGGTAGCGCCTTAACTGCAACAATTTCTTCAAGTCTTTTTCAAACAGTTTAACGAGAAAATTTGGAACATCTATCACATATGTATCGTCTTTATCAGCAGTCTGCAACTTCAACCTAAATAAACAGCAAACAATATAATATATATTATAAATTATCAATGCATGAAAATGTCCTAATCAAGTGTGGTACTAAGATAAATTTTATTTAAAAAGGCCAATCATGGCGATGTGGCCTTGGGCTATTGAACTCAATTATGCCCAGTTTTGGCGGTTTTTTAATTTTAAGAAGTCTAAATGAACTCGTTTGACTTCGTTTCCTTATTTTACTTTGAAAAACATTACCTATTGTGCTAAGTTTTAGTAAAATCTTACCAGTATAATCAAATTTGCCCTAAAGTAACTTCATGATAGATTTCCGCATTCATTGTTTGGTGCTTCCTGGTTTATGTGAATGGGTCAAATTGAGTTGTCGAAGTCTTAGATGCAAATTCTTCTGAAGTAGAGACATTCTCAGTCATCAATGCTAAAAACCTGATCCTGTAATGCGTTTTCTACAATATAAAAACGGAAACGTAGCGTTCCGTTATCAACCTTTAATATCAGGCATAAATGGCAAGACAATTTTCAGAACAAACATAGATGACCGTGCGTCGCACCGATAGTCAAGTTGGGGCTAGTACCTAACCCTTTCCGTGCGGTGGGCACGTTTACGTACCAACAACAAAAGTCGCTAGATTGCGGCGGGTACGTTGATGTACTCCACTGTTTTATTTAGCAATTGGTCGCAAACTGTTGGTCTAGTTTTCCGGGTTTTAGTTTATTGATAAGAAGTCTTCTTCGAGATTAACATAAGCGGCGTAAATCTCGCTTTCGTTTACGACGGGAATTTTATTTGCGGCGGAACGAAGGAGTGTTTTTGAAATTTATGCAAATTTCGGTGTTTTTTGGGTGGTAATAGAAGACATATTATCCCTTCTATCTACCAAAGTATTTTGAGTTAGATCACAAAATTGCTACAGCAATATTATGCTATTGTTTGCTAACCACGAAGCGGTAACAGTAAAGGATTTAGCAAATATTTCTATTTTTTATCACGATTTGAAGTTTCAACTCCCAAGAAAAAAAATGCCTTTTTTCTATCCGGTTTGTGACTCAGACCACCGCTTTTAAAAAAAACTTTATTTTTTAATTGCCAATTGCAAGCTCTATAAATAAGCTTTCCAGCGAGCCGTCAATGGGCAGCAGAGGATCATTAGTTTTCGTTAGTCGATCGATTAGTTGTGAGGGTACAAATGCATAAAATCGGCGTAGCAAATACGATTATTTAATAAAAATCGCATGGAAAGGGTTAAGGCCGGTATACACGACAGTGTGCAAACTCACCGCACCGTATTTTCTTTGTTTGTTTTATTTTATTCGTCTGCGGTGGTCTGCGCTGAGTTTATCTACGTTGGCGAACGCTCGAGTAGCGTTTTCTGAACGCAGTTCGCCGTACTGACAGTCTTGCTCCGCTCGTCTTGGTGGTTTCCGAAGGGAAACTGGTTGTTTTTCATGTGATAAGTGAAAGTTTTGAACTATTTTCCTGGTTTTCGAGTTGGCTTTTATAACTATAGGCTTCAGAGTGTAGAAGTTCAGAATTACTAGAGCGATTTGTATCATCTGCAGATAGTAGTAGTACCGGTACCTGCGGGTTCGGACATGGTACCGGTACCTATCCGCCCATGGTAATTAATTTTGTGCTGGGTAGTGTGTTCTTATGGTTTACTACAATCTGACAATATCGTTAGACTACCGGTATTCAAATCATCGAGCTTTCACCAATTTGGATTTTTTTCAGCAATTGAATAGGTGCGGTAGTCAGTTTTAATTTAATATGGAGGAAAAACTCATTGCTCTAGTTGAGGAATATCCTTGCCTGTATAATACCACACAGGACTCGTACCGCCGAAAGGATTTCAAAGGCAATGCTTGGGCAGAGATAGCTCGAGAGATGGGTATGCCATGTAAGTAGTCTGATTAGTGTAGTTAATTTTTTTATACTTGGCCTATGGCTTGTCAGGAACTAGTCCAATTTTGCAGCAAATGAATTGTTTTATACTGCTGAAAATGATAGTAGCCTAATCGATGTAAATAAGCTAAATGATGACTAGATTACGAGGTATCGGTATTGGTTAATTTAGTTGAATCGCCTTTAAAGAAAGTGCTATGTTTTGCTAAAAGAACTAGCTAGTTTCCTCTTCATATTCTGTAAAGGGCAAGAATGCGAGAATAAGTGGAAAAACCTTCGAGATAAATATAGGAGGGAAAAGAAGAAAAGGGCAGAATTGAAATCTGGTGCGGCGGCAAGTCATCGGGTTGAGTGGAGCCTTATGAGATCCTTAGAGTTCCTTGAACTGTTACAGCCATGAGGAGGTGGGTGTTTGAACAAGGAAGGAGCCTGCATTTTCTACATATTGTCAGTGTATCTTTTGATAATAAAGCTTTTACCAAGGAAAGGCTGTTAGTTTAGACCAGAATCGTGTTTTGTAGTTGACCAGGATATGCATAAAGGTAACTTTCAGGGTTCCAACACTAAATAATGTACTATTCGAAGTTTATACAAAAATTTTATTTTTGAGTATGGTATCTTTATCAATTTCCAAATTAGATTTCATATTAAAAAATATGAGGCAAAGAATTAGGAAATGTAAAAAATTATAGTTGAACATATTTCGAACAAAATTGATGTTGAATAGATTTGGACATTTTATACATATTTAACATCTGTGTTCTTTCTCATAGCTATGTTCAGAATCCTAAACTTATTATACTGTATGTCTGTGTAATTTAGGCATCAGTACTTAGGTAGCTCAGAACATTCTTTTGTATAAAGTGACCAAAATTAGGCACTGTAATGTAAGTACAAAGATAACGTCTTTCTGCACAAACATTTACAGTACAACATCAAACCTGCCAATGCCGGATACACCATCTTCGAGTGATGTTGATGTTACATTGGAAGCGGTATCAGGTAAGCACCAAAATATGATTTTAAAATATTTTATAAATTTTAATTGTCAGACGTATAATACTGTATTATGAAATACCCTAATATCATGCACTGTTGCAATAAATAAGTTGTATTCGCTTTTCTGAAAAAATGCTTTTGAATTCTATACTATTATATGATCGAATATGCCATTCTTTTTTTAGCAGATGAAACAGACCAATTTCAACCACCTGTGGCAAAAAAGCGTAAAAGCAGCCGGGATGACCTCAGTGCTGTGTTAGAAAAATGGCAGCAGTCATCAGGTAAGTCAAGTCGAGCAGTGATTCTTATAAAGTGAATCGCGGTTCATAACTTGGATGCCTGGAAACCATCTTGAGTCGCTATTTTCAAAAAAATTGGCGCTCCCGTACGATGTTAACCAAGATGGCGGACGCTTTGAACGTAGTGTGTGTATCAGGTTGGGACATAATTTTATTCCAATTTCCCTTATTTTAGTTCTGTTAAGAATTTGAATTTAGCCAAGTGCCTTCTGTAGTATTTGTATCTGAAATTAGGGTTGAACCTTAACCTGGTACACATACTATGTTCCGATGTCTGGCATCTTGATTCACGTACTACACGAGTACCATGACACCTACATTATTTTAGTTTAAATTGTTGACTTTCTCATTTGTGTAAATAATTTTTGGTGAAATATTTATGCTTCAGATCACTCAAAAAAATATCTACTTACTGGTACGTATCAAACCAAAATTATATATATATATGTTTCTTGTTTTTAGAGAAAATACAGGAAGATCCTGATGAACTCTTCTTGTTGAGCATGGCTCACGAGGTTAAGACGATGAGTGTGGAAAAAAGATGGAGGTTCAAAGTTGGAGTCATGAATCTCATTAATGAAATTAAATACTCTATTGAATAAACTATTGATATTACTTAAATATAAATTTTCCTGAATATTTTTTTTGTTTTAAATCTTGCCAACTAGATATCATTGCTCAGTAGCTTTCGTACATCCCTGTAAGTGCTAACCCAATAGTGTACCTAAAATGTCAACCAGTCTGGTGATTTACCCTCGTAGTTGCTATTATCTCCACTGCGGCAACATATATAAAAACAAGATGAAAGATTCCGCTAACCAAGTCGGAAGCAAAATTTTTTTTATTCAGAAAAGAAGCAATAAAACCAAAAAATGATAGGGGGGATAGTGCATTTAGATCATATTTCGACCACTCGAGAACACATATTTATCCTGCCATGGCAGTGCCCCTTTCTCACTAACAAAATATTCGCTGAATTGTTCTCTAACTTTTACTGCCTCCTTCGCACTCGGCCTTCCAATCTTCCTGATATTTAACATTGCTGAATTTTCTTCGGCCTTCCACTGCACTGCACCTTCACTGACCTCGTGATCTACGAAATCCGCCTCAAAATAATTAGAATCATATCTAAGAAAGTTGTGAAGGACTGTGCATGCTTTAATGATATGGTCTGTTCTGGCTGGTGATACGCATATAGGCCTGCGGAAAATTCTGAATCGAGATACCATAATGCCAAAGGCATTCTCCACAACCCTGCGAGCTCTCGAGAGGCGATAGTTGAAAATACGGGACCTTCTTGATAATCCGGTACCTGGAAAAGGACGCATCAAATTGGTTTTCAAGGGAAAAGCCTCGTCACCAAGAAAAACGTGTGGTAGTGGCTCCATCATCCCTTCCAATATGGTGCTTTTTGGCAGGTCTAATGAACCATCCAGGAGTTTTTTTTCCAAAAGATGATGAAGCAAAAACATTCCCATCACTCTGCCGTCCATACGCTCCAACATCCACGTAAATAAATCTGTACTTTGCGTCTGAAACTGCAAGCAGTACCAGACTGAAAGTTTTTTTATAGTTGAAAAATGATGAACCACTGTTTGCAGGAGCTTGTATGACAACATGTTTCCCATCAATACTTCCAACACAGTTTGGAAATTGCCATAATTGTTTAAAATCGTTTGCAATAATCTTCCACTGATTTTCACTTGGGACTGCCATGAACACAGGCTGCAGGGAATCCCATATTGCAGCGCAGGTTTCTGGAATAATTCGCGATATGGTCGTTTTATGAATCCTGTAAGAGAACCCGATGGTCTGATATGAATCCCCCGTCACCAAATATCTGAAAAATATATAATGTTGTATTTAGCGATAAACTACCATATGTAGACTAACGTTAGGTACTGTTCATTTATATTTTAATCAATCAATCACGATTTCACTCATACTGTGGGTTAAAACCCTATTTCAAAATACCTCAAAGTGACTGCAAGTCGTTCCTCAGGCGGAATTGGTTCACGCATATTTGTAGTTTGTTTCACAATCTTGCTCTCTATCATATTCAAAAGACGGTCAAATGTAGATGGTGTCATGTGGAAGTACTGTTTAAAATAGGCTTCTCTTTCCATTCTCATCTCCCTAACCAATCTGTAGTATTCTCCTGAAATTAGAGGCAAAGAAGGTGAGTATAGGCTTCGTGAGACTGAGACGTACCGTATGCATTTAGTGTATTGTGAAAAAAAATTACCATGTTCCTTTCGTCTGCAAAGTATTGGGTGCATCCACAATCTCTTGCCGACACAGCGCTCATCCTCTTTTAATCTAATACAGAGAACCACAAACAATAACTTCAGCTGATGTCGGTACAAGTACTGCTTGTAAAACGACTTATTCTTCTTCGCGATACGATACCCATTTTAATAAAATTAATCTTGCAACGATCCCCAAAATATCCAAAACAGAAATAATACAAAAGACGAAGGACAAGTCCGTTTCCCGCCTGACCTCACGTCACAGTACACTGCGCAGAACTGTGGTTCCGTGCACACTGCACAGTGCGGAGAGTCGCTGTGCGGTGAGTATTACTACTGCCGTGTATACCGGCCTTAAGCCTTGACAAAATTTTGTGATGAGTACTTTAAATTTGGTAAAGCAAAATCATTTTAACAGGAAATTTCATCACCGATATGGAATTCTAGCTTGCTTGGCTGCATCATCTTCCGCTTTGAATGCTGGATTTGCCATCAGTTTTAGTTCTCCAGCAATCCAGGATTTAGAACAAGGAAAAGGATTAATTCACCTAACTCCAGAAGAAACTACATGGTTTGGGGTAGGTTGGATAATAGTTTAGGAATTGCGCGAACAACTGTGATTGTTATTATTAGTTAGCCAAGCTTTTTTTTGGAAAAAATAAACCACTCGGATGTCCTGTGAAGACAATCAATTTGTCGGGCATTCATCTATTACACTTCTGATCCATTGGTTCGCATATATATCAGTGACTTTGCTGTGCCGTATTATTTCATTGATAACCTCGAAAGCATGACTCAAGTCACAATCTGAATCACACGTAATCTGAATGAATGATCTGAGCGTTTCCGTAACGTGACAAAATGTTAGTTTAGTAATCTCTGATACATGCGATTTTGCTAAATACAACTCACTATATTACCAAAAATAAATATAATAACGTAGCAACAACGAATAGCTGAATGACTATTTGAATAATTTCAAACACAACTCGGTGCCTATCAACAGAAAACATAAAGAAATTTTGGAGCATGGCGCTTGGATATAGCTATGTTGTTCAAGGTATACAACCCATGTCGGTGAACGGTGACTGTAAGTGAATGTTGTATTCTTGCGCCATCATGCTTTGTCTCCACATTTATAAGTTTTTTACAGGACACTTAAACCTACTATCTCCAAATCTACTCTAAACTAGCACGAAGTTTCATCTAATCACGCTTCGAAAGAGCCTTTAGCTAGAAATAGCTTCATTTTGCTCGATTTCGGCGCAAATTTCATTCTCAATATAAAGGAAAATATCTTTATTCTCTCAAGAATCCTATTTAACTCGTAACCATTTTGCTGAAAGTATACAAACATGGGCCACGTGACCAAAACATTCGATTATCTCTCTATAATATATTAATTAAACTTCAATTGGTCGCGGCATAAAACACATGACGATAAACTTTACTAATTCACTGATCAGAATATTTATAATATCAAATCTTAAATGTAAAACACACATAAATTGGTTTCAGAGTCTCCTTCCTTTGACGGCAATGTGTGGCAGTTTACTGAGTGGTCCGCTGATGGACTATTTCGGGCGACGACCAACAATATTGATGGTCGTAATCTTGTTTCTTGTCAGCTGGATAACTATGTTCTTTGCTTCAGGATATGCAATGCTTTTTTCTGGTCGCGGATTATCCGGTTTGGCGACAGGAATGAGCTTTGCAGTTATACCAGTAATTTATTTTTGCGTTTTATCGGTGCAATGTTTGAGTTCTGACAAACAATTTCTAAATTGAAAATGATTAAAAATAATATGAAATTTTGCTTGATATATAGATCAACATAACGATATGTAAAAATGGAGGTAACTAAAACTATCGAATAACTTTTTGCTTGTATTAAAATGCAAATTAACACATTTCCAAACCACGGGTGTTCAACAGTGGGTCGGGATAGCATTGTGGTTTGAGCGTGGTGAAAGGACCAAACCAACTGCTCCACTTATGATGTAATTACCTGGGTCAGCAGTTTCAAATTAGAATGATTCCAGTCCTCGTCTAGGCAAAAATAAAATTGCTCTATTTTAAATAATATTTTTTATTCTATTCCAGGTATATATATCGGAAGTTAGTCCAGCTATTTTACGCGGAACAATGGGAAGTATATTTAGTGTTCTGTTAGCGCTCGGACTTCCGGTTGGGTATTGCGTCGCCGTTTTATATAGCTGGAGAGGAATGGCAGAATCTGGAGCTATAATAGGTATATATATTAAATTAAAAAATTGGTTAAAGACGAATTTGTAATAATTTAAATTTTAGAAACTCATAAATGCGCACTACAGAGGATCAATAAATGCAGAAAAATAAATATAAAATTTATATCAATGTGTCATAAGCTTCACTCACGTGAACACGGGCCATTGAGCGGCGTTCTACATTCGTATTATTATATCTTCATTATACAAGGTAATCTTATACACTTTTCACAGCTTGTCTCACATTCGTAGTCTGCTATTTACTGCCCGAAAGTCCGTATTGGCTACTCAGACAAAACAAAAATTTGGATGCAACCAAATGTCTCAAAGTTTTACGTGGAAGCAACGATGTCGCGGCGGAAGTGAAGGACATACAGGCGTTACAGCAGGAGGTAGGTATAGATTAACGTATTTCTTTTGTACAAAAATGAAATGAGCTTCATTTCGACATCGGGCATTTTTATCCATATATAATAGACTAAGTAATATACGTTATTCTTCGCCATTCATTGTGGAAACGACGACGCTCCAGAAGTATGTGTACCAATAGGGAGGTAACTAATTTTGTTCGCCAACTTTATATCGAGTATGAAGGAACTGAAACCTATGGGCAGGGGGGATATCCACTTGGCTTACACAGACAGTTACCGAACTCGTAATAGAACTAAAATACGGAAAATCGGAATAAAATTATTGCCTAACCCTAACCTGGTGCACATACTACGGGAGTGCTGAACCGACGAGGTACTGAGCATCGTCCCGGGACTAGCGACGAAGATGCCGAGCGCACTATATTCCCGGTTATGAGCACGAACGTGTACATAACAGACACTAGTAAGAAATTGGCAGAACCGGCTCGTGATTTTAAATTACCTCAATTCATCTTACTTACAATTGTGAGATGTGATGAATGAGCCCACTAGATCAGTTGTTGGACACGTTTCTCTTTGATTACTGGACCAATTGCTTTGAAATTTTCAGTAGTTGAAGATGGAATTTTTTTCTAGAAGGCTATTACTTTTATTTGTTTCTAAATTTTGTATGAATTCTATTAAATTTGATATTTCGTCCGAAATTTCTCTGTAATTTTTTTTATCCACTTGAACACGGATTTCAGTCCACGTGAAGACTAGCTGTACGTTTTGATTCTGCAAAATTCCTGCTACGGAAAATCTAGAATTTTCTTGATGGTACCGGTAGCGTCAAAGGTACCAATAAGGACTGATTCGCTCTCGTCTACGTTTCCACATATTTGAGCGTTGCTCTCTTGTTTTATAATATATTACATACCAAATAGAAATCATTTCTTTTCAGCTGTCTACATCAGTTACAGCTGAAGAAGTATTTTCGCGATCATTCATGAAACCGATGGGAATTGGTGTGATGTTGATGGTATTTCAACAATTTAGTGGTGTAAATGCTGTATTTTTCTATTCACACGAAATTTTTCAACGAACAAATTTTCACGATGGTAAGACAAATTTCAATGCTATAATACTCTAATTTTAATATATAATATTTATGGAATATATAGGCTACAATCTACTGATACTATTCCGTATTACGTTACTATGCCTTTTATCTCGCCTCGCGCAACACCAAGAAATTTTAAGATAAAATTGATATCAAAAATTGTGTAATATTGCACAACCGGCTTATTACAGCATCTTTTGAGGCTTTCAGTTTTAAGCCAACAATCCAGGACTTGAGGAGGTTGGTTTCCAAAAATGTAGTCTTCGAATTATTAAAAAATTGGACCGACGGGGTTATCGAAACCGTCATGTTATGAAGACTGGTACGAGGCCTGTCCGCATGTTTCTCGCCTGATGGAAGACGAATTTACGCCTACGTACGGCCGAGATCACCATGGCGACCAACTTAATCACAATTTTTATCCCTGTTCAGCGTAACACTCATGGAAGTTCGCGAAACAGTTTGAGAAACACTGCTCTAAAAAATAAACTGATGTACGTCTCTTCCGTTTTCCCCTTATGCTCGTACTTGAAGCGGTATTGCATATTGATATGTACATTGCTGAAGTTATTTATGCTTCCATTTTCCTTTTTATTCTAGAGAACGTGGCAGGTATTCTTGTGAGCAGTCTACATGTCGCTGCCTTGATTGTGGTGACCTTTACAATAGATAGATTTGGTCGTCGTATATTATTACTAGTATCTGCATTTGGTATGATGATCTGCCATGCTGTAAACGGAGCCTGTATGTATATTATATCACGTAAGTAAACTATAGTTGCTCATATTTTTGTACGAGCAAGATGCGTTGGCAAATCTCATAGTATCACATTTGCTTTTTTAGACTGATCAATGGTCTTTTCTTTTTAGATAATGAAGCTACAATACGGCAAAAGAATATTTCATTGTCAGATATTTCCTTTGTCGAACGAGATTTAAATATATACAATGACTTGAATGATACTTCACGTCTCAATACATCATCTATGCAAAATGTCTCCACGAGTTTGGAACAGTCAGAAAATACATCAGACAACAATAGTACGATATGCTAGTAACTATAGGATGAATACAGATTACTCATAGGTGACATCATAACTAGCTCATAAAAAAATAATATATGCAAAGTTCCAGTGTAAATGAAGCATTGTGCGTCGTACAACTTGAGTACAACCATATAAAATTTGATTAATTTGGGAATTTTTTATATTCACAACATTGAAACATAATTTGTATCGCTCGCAATATGAGATGGCCTAAAATGTGTGAGCTTAGTGTTCCCCTTCACGAAATATAATATATCATTAACTATGCCTCAAGTCAGTAACGTAAAGTCTTTTAATTATTCCTTCTAGTTGCATCGTTGACTTCACTGTTGTTTGTAATGTTGTATATAGCAATGTACAGTGTAGGATTTGGTCCTATTCCATTTATTGCACTAAGTGAAATGTTACCTCAGCGCGGTAGAGGAGTGGCGTGTGGAATCGGTACAATGTGCAACTGGATTTGTGCTTTCACACTCACGAAGACTTTTGTACAATTAGTGGTAAATATGGATTGATTATATGCAACTTATATGTATTACTTTCGTCCATAATGAACCAGAAACCACGTTGACTTCCTTTCCGTTAATTCCAATTATTTCTGACCGAGATATTACTGGTATAATTTTATCAAATTTGTATTTATGCTTATCTCGGCAACAAACGCTACATAAAACTATAATACCACTTTCCTGGTGTCATCTAACATACGGTATCACATACTAAATTCATAGAACGTTTATAAGTATACATATGCTGGATTGTAAATTTCACATTAGTATAAGTGCTTTTTCGTATTTTGCAGGAAGTTCTCACCATTACGGGAGCGTTTTGGCTCTTCTCATCAGTATGTTTTTTATCCATTATATTTATTTGGCGTTGCGTGCCAGAGACCAAAGGAAAAACTTTATCACAAATACAAGATATATTTGCAAGCAATACCAACTTCCATATGTCGCCAAGATTATCGACCAAATCGCCAGTTAAGAGTGTAAACCAGGTGGTTATGGCGAGCCCACTTTTGCCCTCTAAGCGTTCTTCAAGTATGCAAGCTCAGATGATTAGCTTAGTGACGGAAGATTAACATGCCGCCTCCATTTGTATGAAGCTAGTTATCTGGCCTACAAAAAGCAAGAAGAGGATATGACGACACTTTTGGTATAAGTTCTTGCATGCAGGTGCACTCAATAGAAGACTACAGAAACCCTTATTACAGCAAATTTATTACTTCGAGTTGCGTTTTGAATCTGTTTGCATGTACTAGACACTATTTTTATTGAAGTTATATTGATACTGTGTTTTATTTGATTACATTGTGCGATTTTCAGATGGTTCATTTTTTCTGGTCTCTCGTCAGCACATATGTATATATCATTAGACAAATGGCTAATCATTCTGCAACACCTCAATCGGCGAAAACCAGTCAGATTTGCTTAGTAATCTTCATAGAATTAAGTTTATATTTACGACAAAATCATCGTCACTTGTTAAATATCAGTAGCCATGCTTAGTTAGATGTACAGTTGTATAAAAACGATTTTCAAAGCAGAAATCAAGTGGCACAAGTGTGGGAACATGGCATGTGGGTCACACTGACATGAAACTACTTCCCATACCACGTTAAAATAGTACCAACGCTAGTTCGAAATCATTCACAAATTTAGCAATATTTACATCGGTGTATCATTTAAACATATTGCTGCAACAGGCCGGTGAATTTTCTAATTCTTCAATACAATATTATCGGCGCGGTAAATCATATTATACCAGTTTTTCTTTATTCCAAAGACTTAAAAGCGTAAAAGCAAGTTTCTTTGGCAGATAGTCGAGTCATTTCGCTCAGCTGACTAACCTTAACAGAGAATTTGAAAACATATATATATATTGAAACCTACATATACAATGAGCATGAGGATCCAGAAATTAAACTTAATCAAAAGTAACTCATAGCATATCGTGGGGTATCTGCATAGAGTCTTGTTCGAAGCGACAAGTATTGAATAAGCATCATATGAAAAAAAATCGTCTGATTTTGTTATAATCGCTGTATGTTTGGTCAGCGTGATTTTTCCTGCTGACCACGCCATAACGTCGGTGGAATATCTTTCTGCCAATCTTTTTTCTTCCAAATAATGTAGCATATTAAATATTGTCTAGAATAAAATTTATCTAGATTATTATATGGCTGTAGTGGTAAAAGGTTAATGCGACAAACAGCATGTTCCATCATTTTTGTTTTGTTATTTTCTTACGTCACCTAGACGTGTGATTCCTAATAACGAATGAAAAAGCATCTTCATTTTGCGGTCTCCTCCGCCCTCTTTGTTTCTTTATTATAATCACACTCTTTTCTTGCCACGTCAAAATTTGTCTGCGCTCAGGCGGTCTTTTCAAATTTGACGCCGTCAGGTGAGCACTGATTTCATGTTTGTGAATGTTTAGGTACAATGATTTATGTGCATACTTGTGTCGCTGATTTTTTCATAATCCAACGCTTGTATCTTCAGCCATTTTTTATAGCTATACTAATGCAGTTCAACTAAGCTTATACCTTCAATTAATGATTCAAATATCTACAAAGTGGAATTGAGGTTACAAGTTCTGAACTTGGTGAGAAGAATCTAAATAGGAAGATGCAATGCTTATTGGAGATCATCTTATTCCGTCAGTTAGGCCATAGGATAGAACTAAATGATTCTTTATTTGTGATTATTGAATCAAAGACGACGGCGTAGACAAACGTACGCGTTCTAGAGCACGAAAATGAGCAAGTTAGAACAAGTAAAAACTTTGTATTAAATTTATGCCTTGGATAGATTCCGAATATGTATACGAATTGCCCTATTCTTGCTTTTAGCTTGTTAGCTTTTATTCAACCTATATAGTGCATCTTAGTCATGTTACATATTTCAGATCGTGTTTATGCAAACTGACTGAACGTAAACAGGCTGCGAATGTTGACATCGGAAACTGCTTGAGTGGAACAAAAACTACGGTTAAACAAATATTCAATAAATTATGGATTACAGTTAGGCAATAATATAGCACTATATTGAATTGAGACTTGTGCACTTGTGTTGAATCAAAGACCCCTGGAAAGATATGCCTGTGCAATGATGTTTGGACCATTTCATAAATAAGATCTACATCATTGATGAATCAAAAACTCAACATGGATGCGTTTGTGTTGGGATGTTCCGGGTATAGTACAGGTGATATTATTTTCTTAATTTTTTTTTAATTATTTCAACGGTCACTTCTTTTGTCATGTCAAGAATTTACGTGACCCCAAGTAGCGTTCATTTTTTCCATATCTTTCACATTTATACTAATGCACTTCAACCTAGGTTTAAGCTACAATCGTTGATTCAATTGTCTACCAAGGGAGGCTGTCGAGGTGGAATGAAAACGAAAGATTTATGGACTAATAGCTAAAGATAAACTAGTAATAATACAGTTAAGCCAAAACATAGTATTAAAGCGATGATTGTTGCCAAATTCCTGAATCGAAGACTCGCGGAAGTGTAGTTAAAGGAGGCGATCAAGGATTGATAAGGTAACTGGTAATTTATTTACAGCAATGAGTGCACGCACAATCGTGGGCAATATAGTGTACAAAGTAAGCCAAACCAAGTTTTATGATCCCGTTAGTGTCATTGTATCGTATCTTACATTCCTTTCAACATAATACTAAATACATGAAGGGTTTCATACTACTGGGCTCTTGCGCTGAGAAACGTACGTTCGTTGTAAGTCTATTCAAATTTATACTTGACTATAGTCTTCCAATAAGTCCTTCGTTTCAGCTGTTCCATGAATAATATTTATTCTAACGGGAATTAAATAAATGATCTCATTTCATTCGCAGTCTTCTCGTTATCTTGCATGCAATTTTATGTTTTCACAGTTATGTTTACTTATGCAGTTAGACAGTTAGACTAATACTAGGCCTTAATCGTAGATTCGAGGTGGAATTGGACCACAAATTTTGGAAATGTTGGCATCGGGATCAGCTAGAGGAAATGCGGTTAGATGAACATTTATCCAGTAAAGAATGAAGTATTATGCTATTATTGATGACTGCACATTTGGAGTCCGGTTGAAGTCGTTAAATTCTTTGTAACTTTTGTATTTGAGATTTCGATCAAACATTCAGATTATTTTTGTTGATGAAGGCAATAAGTTAGATAAAAAAACTCACAAAAATAGGTAATTCAGCCTTCGTGAGAAGTGGGCCAGACTCGGTGGTGGGATTCAATTTTTTTTTGTTAGCCGGTTCCATCACAAAAGTCATTGACGGTAAACGGTAATGCTCACCGGTTCGCTGATCTCAAAAAACTCCGTGAGACGGTTTTATAGAATTTTTTGTTTGTGCATTTCCTTATTATCTTGTTTTAAAAAAATCGCTTTTCTCATTAACCCCTGGATCGATTTTATTTATTTTTAAAATTTCTGTGGGCATATGGGATTCTTGTATTTGCAATAACGTCATAAACGATAAAATTACAAACCTTATGGCGGTAGTATGCTGTGACCTATTCTACTCGTTTTGGCTTTCGTGTCTCTATGTATTTGAGCATCGCTCCCTCATAAGTAATTTGCTGCACTGTTACCTAGTTCATACTACTGTCTCCCACATTAAAAATTCGTTTCGCCGTTTTTCACCATGATATTATAAGGAGCTTTTTGTTTATATATATTTAAGAAAAGTGAAATGGGTCATTGAATTTCTTCAAACCGTATCTAAGTAGGCAACTATATTTTTTGCGTTCCGAATCATTATTTATTTTTAAAACAGAAATTTCAGAATTCGTTTTTTTTTTCAAATTATATTTAACGTGCATAATCAGAATCGCACTGTGCAATTAGTCCTTTTAATGTATTAAATGGAAGCTGAAACTGCTATGAAATTAATGTAGTAATTTTGCTACGTCTGAGACATAAACAAGTATGGATTAAACAAATTAATTAAAGAAAATTGAAATTACTCTGAAATTTTCAACGTACAGTGGTTTTATTTTACTTCAGAATTTGTCAATCAATGCTTGAAAGTATCCAATGTAGAGCAAGATACGGCTTTCCAGCGTGTCTCAAACATAAGCAAGGTAGGTCAACTTTTTATCATAGACTCTTTTTGCTCAGTGTTTGCTGAAATACAGCTACTAATATTCTGTATTTTTATTATTATTAATATTACTAATGAATAATTACAACACACTTAAATTGTACAAAAGTGTCTGTACATATTTATCACAGTGGAGAGAAAATCCGTAAGACGGCTTGATTAATTACAAATGGACATCACGGTTTCTCGTCCGGTGATCAGTCCATATCAGTCCATATCGCCTATTGGGATGAGTTAGCTAGTTATTATTAGTCTTGGAACTTAATGGCGTACTAATGGCATTCTCGTTATGTTTAAACCTTGCTGGAGATGCGCGCGTGCTTCAGCTTGAGCCATCAAATACTTCCTCCCTTTGCCTATTTCTCCTTGTTATGCGTAAATAACTCTGGTTTCAGATAGTGAGATAGTGTTTAAGTAGGTAGTTGTGTGTGCTTTAATACCACGTACAATAACGCTAAAACCACGTACAAGTAAATTTCAAAAGTACTATATCCACAGAGGTTCCTTCTCTGAAACATTAAAATTATGAAAAATATTTAGTGCTAATCAGCTACCAAATGCGTTCTTCATTTTGAATATTATCGTTCGTGTGTCTCGTAACGATATTCGGTTAGTGGTCCATATTATTATGCTTTATTTCCTATCTCAGTCCTATTTTCCCCCAATTTTTTAAACTTGCTACAAGAACTTCAAGGGGCAGAATGTATTAGATGTAGAAATGTACAATGTTTACGATTTTACCACCAAATAAATACTTGATGACAGCGTGTATAAAACTCAAATATACGATTGTCAAAATAAGTTCTTTGCCAACGCTGCTTCCTCTCGCTACTCGTTTTATTTTTCTTTGTGGGTTGAATCAAATTTTTGACACAAAATTTGATTCAACCACCAAGAAAAACGAGTAGCGCTGACAAAGTACTTAGACAATCGTGTATATTTGAGTTTTATACACGCTATCATCCAGGAGCTACTAACAAGGAAATGAACATGGACAAAAAACAACATAATAGCATAACGATATGTACAGTTCGTGTCCAATAATATTGAAACCAATAACAAGTAATTACCCCGTCTCTATCGGTCGTCACATAGGCTAAGTCTGTATTTAATGACTGTGTTGACAAAAACTCACTTGCAGCTATGCTGAAGATTCTCTCCTATCCGCTTCTGTATGCTCGTGAAACAGATAATTTAAGGGC